AGTTTCCTCTGTTCTTCTAGACACTTAGATCGCGTCTCCTCTAAATCCCGGGCCAGCTCCTCTGCATGCTCTCTCATCAATCCAATATTAGTCTGGGATTTCCTCTCTAAATCATTCACAAAACAGTCTTAATTCTAACAGAATAACAGTCAGTGGTCATAAATAAGCACCCACATATTTGTAGGTTTTAAACAAGAATTGTCTTCTTATTGCATACTACCTTTGACAAAGATTGTATTGCATTTGATACATTTTGTGAATATTTCAGACAAAATGTAAGAAAATAAAATCACTACACTAAAATGAAGTTATTTTGATCATAAAGTGTCACAATTCATTGTATTTATTCAAAATTTTACTTCTTGAGAAAAGATCAGATTTTTCAGAATGAATTCACATTGATTCATTAATATAAAATTTTACTATATATATCTAACATAGAAAGCCATTGTTTTTATTTAAAATTTCACTTCTTGAGAAAAGACCAAATTTTTGTCAAAATTGATTCTCATTGATTCATTTAATAAAATATTTACTATACATATTTACCATAGAAAGCCCTCATGCTTTCTGCCATTTCCTGTAGCTGTTTTTGGTACCGAGTCTCGGCCTGGTGAATGGAAAGAGGTGTTTCCTGAATCTGTTTTGACAGGGCCATGATCTTATCTGTGCAGGGTAAAATTGTCAGTGAATATGAATGACATTGTTAGAAAATATCTGCAATATGTTTTTGGTATGAAATTTATTTCTTCCATACCCTAAAATCTTGAAAATTAGCCGGATTTAATAATAAGCCGGTTTTGAAAATAAGCCACCTATTTATTGCATTGAAAATTACTCGAAAATAAGCCTGATTTGAAAATAAGCCGGTAATGATCGTTCCATTTTGAACACAGTGTTATTTTTAATTTCAATATATTTTATTTTATTATAAACATTCTATGACATTAATAATTTTATTCAACAAAGCACAAGATATTTAAGCACTATTATTTTCTTTTTAGTTAACAGAAATCTTGACATTCATTACATGTCGTCTTTATCCTCGCAGAAATAATTTTATTTCAACGATGCACGAGAAAATGTTGAACTTCAGTTTTATAAAAATCGAATTAAATCTTTATTTAGCAATGGTAATCATGACTGTGTGCATTGCGATAATCTTTTATTTTCAACAGAGTTCGAGTTATTTTAATAATTAAGATTTAACTAACTTGATATTTCTTTTTTTAAATTACTATAATGGACGAAGGTTATAAATCGACCCCAATTATATCAATGAAAATAATCAAAGCCATTGATAATAGAGGTGATGAGAAAATTATTAAACAAACATGTACACTCCTTCACAACAATTGCTTTAATTGGGACGTATACAGGGGTGTTTACATGAAATTTCCACTGAGTTATTTAAAATCAAAATAAACTTATAAATTGCTTCTTCTTTTTTTTTTTTTTTTTTTTTTTTTTTTTGAAAACCGAGTGTCAGACTGATTTGATACATTACGTAAGCACGTAGCAAAGGAATGTGTAAACGTCTATAAATAACATCGTGATATGGGGGCTTGAATATGCAGCTAAAATTAATTTTAACTCGCTTTCCAATATAATTTAACTGTTAACAGATTATAAATTAAACAGTTTCAACAAGTTTACGTTCTTATAATAATTTACTAAGGTTTTAGATATAGCGGTAAACAACAAGAAATTGTCTATGTCTGTTGGTAATGCTACAGTATGTCTGATACCCGTGCATATTATACTCGGCCAAATGTGGCAGTTCAAAATCGATCGATTATAATTTATTGTTTAGATAATAAGCCGTGATTATGCTCTCGGCGCTTACCGGTTTTTGGTTTTGATAATAAGCCGCGATTTGAAAATAAGACGGTTTTAAAAATAAGCCCCCATTTTCTTACCAAAACTTAAAATAAGCCGCGGCTTATTTTCAAGGTTTTAGGGTATATTGGTTTGTGAATAGTCATTGAATTTTGAATGAACAATCTGTGTATGTGTGACAGAGAGAGAGAGAGAGAGAGAGGGAGAGAATACTTGCCATTCATGCTGCTGATTTGGTCTTGCTGGTCTAAGATGGTCGTGTCTTTCTTGTTGAGATCTTGTTCTAAACTCCGGGCCTCCTGATTTCTCTGGTCGTAAAGATCCTTAAACATTACAAATTGTTGAAGATATGTAACCTCACCTGTAAAAAATACAAAATAACAATCATAGAATACATTCAGAATGTGCTAATTGCTCCTTTCACATTATTATTTAAACTGCACTTTGCCAGGGAAAAGCCATTCTTATACAATTTATGCACAAGATTCAATTATTTTAGCTTATGGCTAATGTCTTATTGTGTGTTAATTGTTTTTATCATCTACTTAGGGGTAAATACTGATTCCGCAGTGTGGGTAATGGATCATATAACAATAGCTTATATCAATGACTGGTCCGAAAACCAATACTGTGTATGCATATCAAACCAAAAGTAACATTTTCATAGAGTTTAAAAGTCAGTTAACTTGAGTTATTGAAATATACATGTAATACAATTCATGTAGCATACTAAGTTTGTTAACTTACATGTAATTAGTTTCAAAATGACCTAAAATAGGCTCTATTAGATTATAAAGAAAAGGGCCATATACAAGAAATGACTGTATGTGAACTCCCATATTAAATATTTTAAATATAAGATGGATAGAATACTAAATACTAAAATCCACATCATAATATGTTAATTCAATCCTTGGGCCCCACATACAGCCCTCAGGTTGATTTGGAACCACTCGGGCTGATATGGATCCACTCGGGCTGATATGACATATAATATAGATTTTAATATGTAATATTCTTTAATATATCCACCAAAACATAATTTCAGAAATATTTTCTTCAAGCTCTGTTTGCAAGGGGTATTAATAGCGATTCTCTGTAACCACTTAAACTTCTTTGCCACGCATGGTCACCGATTTTGATGATACTTTGCCCATTATTACAACTTGACACCAGAAACATATATCAAATAAAATTTCGTTGCTATGCATCTTGGTTGCCATGGTAACAGCCAGAAAAGTTGGAAAAATTGAGATTTTACGCTACTTTGAATCTTTATTAAGCCTTGATAAAGACTAAGAAAAACAAACAAACCATTCTCACAAAAATCCGAAACCTTGTTGCCACTTATGCTGTAAAGAAACTATTTAGAATTTATCTCTAAGTAAGTTGTAACCATGGGTACATTTGGAATACATTTTAGATGCTGAAAAATGCAGAAAAACGCTCAATATTCACTAATGATAGGTGTTAAATGATCAAACTCAATCAACAACCTAAGAAAAAACAATAAAAATATTTGACCTTAAGTAATTAGGTATTGGCAATATTATTCTAAAAATAACTTTCATGGTTGCCATGGTAACACAGTGTAACCGTGCAAAATATGTTGCTAAGATTGGGTTAAAGCTACTATCTTCAGGAAAAACAATAAAATTCATGACTGGCACATATACATCCTTAGGACCTTGCAACACCGGCAACATAAGAAAAATTGGGATTAATTGTTACTTTGCAGTGTTACCATGGAAACAATGTACCAGTTGTTTAAAGGGATATTTTTTTGCTGCCTTAGGAATTTACTTACTTTTTATTCAAGAAAAATATTATTTGACTCACCTTGAATAGTACTTATCTGGAAGAACTAAAGTTGAATATCATATATTGATAACGTTTGTTGAAAAATACAACACTGTTGCTATGGTAACCAAGAAGGGAAAATGTTCGATTCTGTTAATTTTATATCAATATGAAACCCTATGTGCCAGTTTTTTGCATCCAGTTAGAGATTGGGTGGCAGTCAAAATTGAAAGTCAGGTTAGTTGTTCATAATTATCAAGCATAAAAGTTTTGGGAATCTACATACAAGGGTACGTATCCAAGGAAACAAAATATTTTTCAGATTTTTATGCATATTTTTTCGGCTCATTTCCATAGCAACGCACTATTTAAAGAATTGAATTTGAATTTTTTGAAATGTGAAAATTAGGGTCACATGAACGTCTTTAAAAATTGATCATCAGTTATATAAAAATATGCTTTTTAAAAAGATAGGATAAGATTTAAACACCAAGAGAGTAAATTTAAAATCCCTTTTTGGTATTAAAACCATGGCAACCATTGCCATCCTATAAGAAATATCATATTTCTTCCTTGGTATATGTTACAAGGATCTTTTGTCTATTATTTGCTTGCATTTCAACCTATAATTTTTTTTATACTTAAGTGTATGATTTTATAAAATTAAACGGGCAAAATTATTACTTTTGAATACTTTGTTTCCATAGTAACGAATGTAATAGTTGATTTACCAAACATGTTTATCGCGCATTTAAGACATCAGGCCTTCAACTTTCAGAAACAACCATTGCTACTTGTTTGCTTTGCTGCAAACGTTAACTGTGGGACTCTGAACATGTTGAAAAATGCCATTTTTCAAACTTTAGGACATGTTGCCATGGTAACCATGACACGTAGCAACCATTTTCTGCCTGATTTGAGTTTACAGTATCAAAGACTTTTATCATAGAGAGTTTGGAGAAATTCTGAGACTATGCGTGCCACAGCTCCTATATAAAAATTCAAGTCGTTACAGAGAATGGCTCTTAATTGTCACTCTATTTTGGCTTTCCAATTAAATTAATTGTCACTGTGTGCTACTGTAAAATCTCACTATTTCTTTGTTGTAAATCTCTCTGTAGTTGATCCACAGTTATCTGCAAAATGTCTACTTTTGCTGCCACTTTTGTTTTTTCATCTGCAACAAAAATCATTTTGTAAAACAAATTTAAAACAATGAAGGGTAGAAATTTCTTGTAAGATTAATAGATATAAATTGATATTATGTTGTAAAAAAAATCCAAAACCACATTTACATATTGGTACATGTAGTATATATGTATCATTTATTTTCATAAACTGATTTTTCATTGGAGTAGTGGTCAATTTTATGTTGAATACATGTACATGTAATACTGCAATATGAGGATGTATAACATTAACACGATGAAAGAATTGAAAGTCTTGCACACATCTCTGTTGAACTTACCAAGAGACATGTTCAGAGCTTGTATTTCAGCCACCTGTTTTTGCAATTGTCCATAGAGCTCTTTTACTTGTTGTTGACGTGTTACATCTACTGTCTTCAAAGTAGTTAATTCTCCATTCAGTCTTTGTAATTCTCCTATTATCAAAAAAAAAAACAAGAGGCCCATGGGCCACAACGCTCACCTGAGTAACTTTGGACTTGCTGTTTTTCACCTGATTTCTCCCCCCCCCCTTGTAGTACTTATTGTGGCCCCACCCTTCCCCTAGGGGTCATGATTTGAATAATTAAAATCTACACTACCCCAGGATGCTTCTACATAAGTTTCAGCTTTTCTGGCCCACTGGTTCTTGAGAAGAAGATTTTTAAAGATTTTTACTACATATTTCAATGTAAAACTTGGATTCCCTATTATGGCCCCGCCCTACCCCCGGGGGTCATGTTTTGAATAATTTAGAATCTACACTACCCTAGGATGCTTCCACATAAGTTTCAGCTTTTCTGGCCCACTGGTTTTTGAGAAGATTTTTAAAGATTTTTACTACATATTTTAATGTAAAATTTGGATTCCCTATTGTGGCCCCGCCCTACCCCCGGGGGTCATGATTTGAACAATCTAGAATCTACACTACCCCAAGATGCTTCCACATAAGTTTCAGCTTTTCTGGCCCACTGGTTCTTGAGAAGAAGATTTTTTAATGACCCCACCCAATTTTTGTCTTTTCTTGATTATCTCCCCTTTGAAGGGGACTTGGCCCTTCAGTTTAACAATTTAAACTCCCCTTCACCCAAGGATACTTTGTACCAAGTTTGGTTAAAATTGGCCCAGTGGTTCTTGAGAAGAAGTTGAAAATGTGAAAAGTTTACAAACAGACGGAGAGCCAGACAGACGGACGGACGACGGGTGATCAGAAAAGCTCACTTGAGCTTTCAGCTCAGGTAAGCTAAAAAACAAACAGTCAAACAAAACAAAATTAAAACACCACACTTAATTGCAAAAAAAATTCATAAATTTTATTCATATATATTGTGGATTTTACTTTTCAAAATGTAACTGATTTTTAACCACACCTGTATGTCTATATGTTACACCTACACACAAGAATTTTCAGGCATCAAATCATTGATCTGTCAGTCAGACACACTGGTAAATAATTTAAAACAAATTAACTCCATTTTTGTCTTCAGCAGATTTTGGCAATGGCAGTAGTTAGTTCCCTTACCCTTCAGCTGATGCTTTTCCTCCTTACATTTGGCCTCACTCTGTCGTGATTTCTCTAGCTTCTCCTGTAATGTCTTAACCTGCTTGACCTCCTCTTCAAGCTTCTTGGTATGGTCTATAAATAGATTTAGAATGTGTGAATAGACAAACATTTTCAGTGCAATAAGTAAGAAAACAGTAAACTATCAGTGGTGATCAATAATGCTCAAAATAATTTATCATACTTTGTCAGTTAGAATAAGATATTGGGGGAGCTAGGATAGATACATGTTTGCTCTACCATAACAGTCCAGTTATACATAATATCTCTATAACACATTCTTATATAGTTGTATTTTATTGTATCTAATGGAATATAAATCTTACTTTGAAGAAGTTGTATCATCTTTTCTCTCTCTGGCAATTCTTTTTCCTGTAGTGTGCGCAGGGTTTTATCCTTTTCAGCTATCAATTTATCCACCATTTCTTTCAGATCTCTGTCCTTCTGAGGCAACAAAGTACACAACACCTCAGCTAATTTATGGTCCACGTGTAGGCCAGGTCCATTATTAGTAGAACCACTTTGATCTTTCCAAATAAAAAAAAAAAAGATTAGCAGGCATATATATAAATAAGGTCTCTAAAATAAAAAATATATTTTACAGTAATTTATTTTACAGTAAAACTTGCTCAAGAGGAACTCAGTTTTAAGGAATTCTCATTATAAGGAATACTAGTAACTTGGATTTCCTTAACTATGCCTGCTCAGAAATTTGACAAGTGAAAACATTTAGGAATTCTTAGTCATTTTTCAATGTCTTGACTTTTGTCAGCATATTCTTGGTTATGGTAATTTGTCTAATTAGCTAAGAAAATATGCTATCTTAAAATGCTGTACATTCTTTTACATATCAAGAAACTGTCTAATGATTATTTTAAAACAACACAGTTTTCACACAAAGAATCGTGATACACTAGTTTTTCTGTATCAAAAAAGCATTTAACTGAATCAGACTCACCAGACTCCAGGAGCTGTCTGGCCACAACATCAGCCTCACTAACTGCTTTCTCTTTAATTGTTCCTGTCAACAGATCAACAACTCACAGTTCACAACAACCTTCTATGGGTAAAAAAGTCCTTATCTAGTTAGTTTTATTATTTGCTTTGGTAAATAATCAATTATGATTGTGCTTTTACGCTACAACATCCTCACAACACCAAGGATCCTGAGTCCACTCATGGCACCCTTGAAAAACTTCATTCAGTAAAAAAATACGTTCAGGCCATTATCAAGAAGCACCCATCAAATTCGGGCTTTCATAAGTTGACATGTAATGTAAATAGAAAGTAAGCAGTTGACAGCTTAGTGTACCGGTACATGTTTTAGGTTGTTTGCCACTGAAGGCATCATGTGATTGGTAGAGAGCTAAGAAAACAATCAGGCTTTGTAATTTCCCCATAAGGCATTACTGCAGTCATCCCATAAAAAATTAATCTAAGTTTGTCAGGGGTCCCATGGTCATGAGTGGACACAGGATCACCTGAGTTGTGAGGGTATATATATAGTTCTTCCTAATTTCGCATTAGAACACAAAACCTGTAAAATTTTGTAAAATCTACGATTATTAATTATGACTTATAAACTTAAATCATAAAGAATATTTAAGAAATGAATTTCATTTTTGAAGATTCATGAGGACATGAACTACGACGCTTCATACCGCATATTTCATGAAGCGCATTTGCGCTTCATGATAAATATACCAGCGTGAAGCGTTGTAGTTCATGTACCTCATGTACCTCATGAATTGTCAAAAGTTAAATTCATTTCTTATGTTTACATTATTTTTCCGATGATTTGCCACAAATAACACCATTCATTTTTAAAGCAAAACAGTTTGCACTATAGTTTTGACCTCAAGTAAGGTATTATGATGTAACAATGGAGATATTCATGCTCATCCATGGTAGTTCATGAGAAAATGAACAGTATTCTATTTTGTAAAGAATCATAGGGGAAATTTATTGGAAATGTAAATATTATAAAATGCTTACTCAATAGCTCATCAAACTGGTGGTCTCTTGTTTCTTGATCTGTTCGAACTCGTTGGTTGCAAACAGGACACTTCTGTTGTCTCTGGAACCAGTCCTGAATGCAGTGTGCACAGAAGCGATGTCCACATTTGGTTGTGGAGGTTCCAGAGAACAAACTTGTGCATATTGTGCAGGTGAAAAAAGACTTTATATCTGAAAGCTAGAAAAATCTAAATTGATTATTGATATTCTATGTCCTTGAGATGAGCCAGATTACTCTTACTGAAAGAGTTATAAAATAAGCATCAACTCTTTTAATATTTGTGTCCCAAACAAAATTTTGCCTTTTTCTAATTTTTATTTTTCCTCATGTATAATGAACCTGGGACCCCCACATTACCAGTCAGGCGCCCTAACTTCTGAGCCATCCAGTCAAATACCCACATCCCATATACTGTAAATTACTTTTTTTATTTGTGAGAACTTTATTTTCGCCTAATTATGCAAGACCGTCTGCTTGCTAAAATTACATTCTTATGTTTAATTCTATTGCTAAAGATTATATTTAGAGCAATGACCAAAATTCGTTAAAATTTTATTTTGCTCTCTATAAATACCAAACAACAATCTCGTAAAAATAAGGTGTTAAGAAAATGAAAAGTAAACGGCAAGGATCCGCTCCCCATAAAACTTATTAAGAGGCAGTCCACCGAAAAACCAGGCAATGGGTGGCACATCGCATATCATGGATTTTAATTATTTTTTGCATGTAGACTTATTAAAGCAAGTGTTTACACATGACAACATTAAAAAAAAATTTAGTGCTCCTCTAGTCCTATTTTTAGTAAATGCTTAATTTTAAGTGCAAAAAGGTCAACATAAGGGTAAAAAAAATTACTACGTTTTTATTTTGTTTTATATGTAACAGATACTCAAAAGCTGGATGTGTCGATGAATATTATTTATAGCATAGACTCTTATCTTTTATTTTATTAATGAATAAGACTCCAATTTATACTTCTTTAGAAAAAATTATATGGTCCAAGTTTGAGTTAAGCAAGTAACTTTTTGAATTCAGTATCCAATTTTCATTACGTTATAAAACCCAATACATTACAAGGACAGATTTTTTTTCTTATTTTATTATGAATACAAAGTACAAACTTTTGAATCACTCAATAAAATCAGTGGGAACAGGTATATTGAAAGAAATAAAAGGAGTCAAATTTACCTTTTTTTTTTTTTTTTTTTTTTTTTTTTTTAATAATTTTCCCAAATGAAACCGATCCCGACCGGAATTATATAAAGAAAAAAATACTATAATTGTAATGTTAAATTTGGCTCTATTGTTGTAATATGAGTAAAAACTTACTTGATTTATTTTTTTTAACATGTTACATAGGTGGCAGGTGCCTTTAGTTTGATAAATTTGTTAATTTTGCATCATTTTCGATCGGATCGGGATCGGTTTTTACTGTAAATTTAGAAACATTTCCTAAATTTGGCTCTTCATTTTAATTTATCAGAAAAATATGCTCGTCTTTTATTTCTTTTCAGTCAGTTAACTGTTTTTAAATGAGTGTAACCATAGATTCAAATATATATATTATTTAAATTACTGATGTCTTTTACGTACATGAAGATTACATGTAAAACATCTGATTGAATTCTTAATAGATACTCGGTATTAAAAAAAAGTATTTGTACATGCATTATGCAACAAATGAGAGCAGACAGCTTCCTAGCTTTATTATTTATCTTATTTCCAAGTAAAATTTCTTTTTTATTTCCTCAGGAATTAAAGAGTAAATTCTATCAGTGGCGAAATTAAACTTGCTTAAATATAGGAAATATTTTTATGTGTACAGTCTCGACTTTATCCAAGTTTTTTCTTACCTGTCATCTGTAAAGCCTTTTCCTCTTTTACAAAATTTGATTTTATATAAATAAGAAAATAAGTTCTTTGTCATATATAGTATCATTATTCAAGAGCCGATAAACAAGCAAAAAGCGGGGGGGGGGGGGGGGGGTGTCTCATGACATCATTATTTTTAAAAATTGGTTTCATGAACGTGAAAACATTTTAGAATTGGCCAACATAGTCACATGTTTAAACTCCATATTAAATGTGAGTGTGTGATTGTTTCAATCGCCAAATTAAAAAATAAATAAGTAAAATAAAAAAAAAAAAAACGAAATGTTTCACTAAACCATCTTCCGTTTTAGTGCCAAATTATAGTGGGTAGTTCAGCAGTAGTTTAACTCAATAAATATATTTTTATAACTTATTTTTCAGTTTTTTTTTTTTCATTTTTAGTCGTACTTCGGATTGTTTATTTTGATTTGACTGCATAGATAAATATATTTAAGTTTTTACAAATATCATGAAGTAAACATCTCAACTTCGTTGAATTAAGTGTTGCGTAAATCTAAAACATTCATCATTGATTCCCAATTTTATAAGAAATGTTCATGATAAACACTTCATTAATTATTTTTACGCATATCCTAGTAAATCAGTTAAAAAAAATTAGTTCTCAGACATGTATAAAATTACTTATCAAAACGTCATCTAGCTGAGACGCCGCCCGTGTATAAAATACATTTTGATATTAAAATATAATTTAACATTAAGAATAATGCACTCTGAGGAGTAATTAAACAGAAAAAGAGAAATCATTTTTTAAAAAATCTTTTTCTTTACACTTTTACGCAAAGAATTTACAAACTTCTCTGGAAACTTGTAACTATTTCATTGTGACGCAATATTAGTCAGGTATATGACGTCACTGATACATCAATGGAAACGTGGATTCAACCTGAATAATAGAGCCAATTTTAATCTAAATATTACGCCTGGAGGCGAAAATGAATTATATTTTGAAAATAAATTATTTAGTTTTTTTTTTTAATTATTTTCTTTAGTATATCGATTCTAAATATTTCACTAGGATTCCGATAAAAAGGTGTTGAGCAGATTTACCGATGCCACGGGAGATAACTCTTGCATCGCAAATTTCATAAAAACGTCCTTATATTTTGCCAGAAAACTACTATCAAAAGTGTTTTTCCCACCGATTTTATTTTTTAAACAAAAAGTTGAAATATTTCTAGATTTAGTTAAGTGTGAATTATAGTCCTGTTAAAAATGTATTAGAAATTACAGTTCTTTGTTTCTGACCTACATTCAATGGTTTATATAGGGACATTCAAAAACACAAGGATATTTTACTAAATAAGCAATTATCAAACAAATCTTCAATTACATTATTCCTTTTGGGCTACACTGATATTGTTTTTAATAAAATATCAAATATTCCTCACATTCGATCTGCCGCCTATTAATACAATACTGCCTGGTTTTTCGGTGGACTGCCTCTTAACAGCATACCTTCACGAATTTTTCTTCAAAATCCCTGTCCTCAGACTCTGAGATGGTTCGATGAGTTGCCATCCTCACTATGCGCTCTGAACAGTATGAAATCTATCTGTCCGCTTGCCTTACACTTTCGTTATTTACAAAACTTCGAAAACGAAAGTAGCCTGTCCAGGAGATTTTCCGAAATTGACACATTACCGCGAATCTATATGAAAGTGCTTTAATCTTCCCAGCTAAATGTAGGCCTTAACTCCCACTCCCAAACTCGTGTAATATGTGAAAGACAACGTATTTTAAAAATCAACCCACATTCGATTTGGCTACTAGAGTCTTCATATGACTATGACTATTTATATCAATATATGACCACTTATACTGTTATATACATTTACACTTCAAACTTCCAGGATACAAGATGAAACAAAAAGATACAAGGTCATAAAATGGCCAGAAACAAGATGTAAATATATATTTTCTATTTTTAAAAATCTGAATTGTTTTCATGTTTATTATTTATGCCAAATGTTATTTAACAAGAGGCCCATGGGCCACATCGCTCACTCGAGCACTTCGGTTAATTGGTATTGAAAATAGTACAAGTGGTCTCATCCTACCGTGTACCAGGGGAGGGGGTCTGAACAAACTTGAATCTTTACTAACTGAAGGTCCTTCCTTATTTATGTGATCGATCATGACTTAAAAAAGTTTTTTTTTTAAAAATTATGTGTTATATTAATTCCTACATACAAAGTTTGATCTTTTATTATGGTCCCGCCCTACCCCCGGGGATCATGATTTGAACAAGCTTAAATCTAGTCACTACCTGAGGATGCTTCTGTATTAATATGACTAATCGTGGCCGTGCTGTTCTTGAAGAGGAGATTTTCAAAGATTTTTCCAATCTATTCCTTTGTAAAACTGATCGCTCATAGACGACATTCACATTTACAAAAGTTATTTCCCTTTGCCAGGTCAATCTGGGGTTAACCAGCATAAGGCACTGTTTTCTCTCTATAACATTACCAATTTTATGGGGCAATGTCTTACAAGTGAAATCTGTATGAATATGTTCATTATGATTTTTATGTTGCCCCATACTATGGCAATACAGGTAGGAATCAAAATTGTCAGATGGGCGTTTGAAGGTTGAAAATATTTACAGGTAAGTTACCAAGGATATAGTGAGAAAAATGAGCGTTATGCCGACAATGGGAGATAACTCTTAAGAATGTGAAATTCGTCTATTGTGGTTCCACCCTAGCCCCGGAGGTCATGATTAAAAAAATATGAATCTACACTACCTGAGGATGCTTCCATATTGAATATAACATAGCTTTGCTGTTCTTAAGAAGAAAATTTTAAAAGAATTCTCCTATGTATTTCCAGGTAAAACTTTGACCACCAATCATGGCCCTTATATTCTTGAGGCTTTTCCCTATATATTCTCATGTAAAACTTTTATTGTGGCCCCACCCTACCCCCTGGGGCCATGATTTAAATAAACTTGAATAAATACTGCCTGAGCTGTTACAATATTAATATGACTTTCAGGGCCAGCTGTTCTTGAAAAGATTTTTTTTCTGTATATTTCAATGTAAAACTTAAGTACCCTATTGTGGCCCCACCCTACCCCTGGGGGCTATGGTTTTAATAAACTTGAATCTACACTACCTGAGGATAGTTTATATTAATATGACTTATCATGGCCTTGCTGTTTCTTAAGAAGAGGATTTAAAAAAAAAATTTTTACTATATATTCCCATGTAAAACTTTAATTCCCCATTGAGGCCCCACCCTTCTCCTAGGGATCGTGATTTTAACAAACTTGAATTTAGACTATGTAAGGACACTTTCATATGAGTTGCATCTTTTTGGCCCCATCATTCTTGAGCTTTTTAAAATATGCCACCAAATGTTGAATAATTATACATGTATCTCCCCATGAAAGAGGGTGTGCCTTTTCATTTGTATGAACTTGAGTCCCATTCACTGAAGGATGCTTTATAGCAGGTTTGGTTGAAATTGATCCACTGGTTCTGGAGAAGAAGACAAAAATGTAAACTTTACAAATGACACACGACAGGATACTGGACACCCTTTCATCAAAAAAGCTCACTTAAGCCTTAGGTTCATGTGAGCTAAAACAGCCATCTATGTTTCATAAATTATCCAATTTTAGTAAGATTTTGAGAAAGAGTTTATTCCAATGTTGAAAGTGCAGATTTCCAAATGGACCAGCTATGGATACTTAGTTAAATTGTATTGTACCATGGTCGGAAAAATTGCAATTAACAAGTAAAATATGATCATGCTTACATGTGGCAGATCCAGAATTAGGGATGGGGACCAAAATTAAAAAAAAAAGGTTCCACTCAAAAACTTTTGACAAGCCAATTTACTTTACAGTCTTCCTTACTTTTGTTTTGTCGGACTGTTTGAATTTTCTTCTCTGACAAAAGAAAGCAGGAAAAATACATGTACATGAGGTAATCTGAATTTTATTCACAATTCATTTACATACTGGGTGAACATTCTTCATATTTTTTAAAATTAAAAAAAATTAATTGCATAATTTTTAAAAAATATGTTTACAGAATTCTTAAGAATAAATCTTTTATCAAACAAAATCTGGACTTACAAGAAATTTCATATAAATAGCCAATTTCAAAGGAAAAAATACAGCTGGTATCACATACATGTACTCTAAAACTGATAAGGTAATTTTCTTTCATAAAGTAGAGGCCACCCTTTAGTCAACATTTGGTTTCCTCAACTGCATCAATTGTAAATTCCTAAAAATCATTCCACATAAAATATTTTTTTAAAAAAATACTTAATTTAGATAATCCACTTTACAAACTGCCCTAGTTGACATATAAAAAAAAAACAACAACAAATGCTAGATTTCAAACTATCACTGTCTGTCCACCTTTAGTTCAAATCTCTGTTCAGTCTCCAATTAAAATTGTTGTCCTTCACATTTCTATACATCAATATTCACACATCTCCCAACAAGTTGTACATTTAAGAGTCACTTCCAGTTATAATTTGTACTCTCCACTTAACAATGGTTCTACACTCAACAGTACTGTCAGTTATAATTTGTACTCTCCACTTAAAGCATCCAGCTTTTGTAAGAGAATCTGAGCTCCTCGGAATGTCATTTTCTTCAATGAACTCCTGATTCCAGACAGCTGACTAATGACAGTGTCCGTTATTTCTGGATGATCCACTTCTAACAAGCTGTAAAAATACATTCTTGTTTACTTAACTCTAATGAACATGTTTATTTACATTTAAACAAAAAAATTTAAAGCTATTTAAACATTTCTGTTTTGTTCATGTACCTTCAAAAGTAGTGTTAATATTCTCATATAAGTGCATAGCATAGAAATACAAAAAAACATAGGAATTAAACTCACAAAAGAAGTGTAAAACAGCCTCTGTTACACGCAGCCCAGGACTTCAATGACCCTTCTTTAAGTGTTCTCAGTAAAACCTGAGAGAAGAGCACTGAAAAACAAGAGGCCCAAGGGCTTTAAATGTCACCTGAGTATAATACAACACTGTAAAGGATCCATGGAAGTATAAAACAGAATTAACTGATAGATGAAGCAATGTTTCCCAAGAATTTCAAACATAAGTAACCAAGGATTATGAAGCACACCTCGACAGATGTTATCTATAAGTAAGGCAAAACTCACATCATATTTTTTTCTAGTTAGTGTACATCCAAAGATCAATATCCATGCAAGTTTGGTTTAAGTAGGACTTATAGTTACTTGGAAAAAGACCTGCTCAAACAACTTTTAAACTGTTTACTAATCAAGAAATTTTGGTCAGTTCCAACATCCAAAGCAAGTCTGGAAGTTTCCATCCTTAGATACACCATCTATGCAAGTATAATCATAACAGGCCATAATATAATATAGCTACTCCAAAAAAAATTACCCTGGTCACTCATCTAGAAAATGAAGGTCAGATTCAGAACACAAAGCAAGTCTGGAAGTGTCCATCCCTAGATACATCATCCATGCTAATTTGGTTAAAATATGGCTAAAATTCACTCATGTGGAAAATCTAGGTCAGATCTAGCATCTGAAGCAGGTTGGTTAGAGTACATCCCTAGATGCATCATCCATTAAAGTTTGGTCCAGGTAGGGCTTATAAATAGTTACTTGCGAATGAACTTGTTCCAAAATCTTAACCTAGTCATTCATCTGGAAAATCTGGCTCAGATCCAGCATCTGAAGCAAGATCCCTATATGCATCATCCATCAAGTTTAGTCCAGGTAGGGCTTATAGTTACTTGGGAATGGACCTGCTCCAAAAACTTTAACCTGGTCACTCATCTGGAAAATCTATGTTAGATCCAGCATCCGAAGCAAGTGTGGTAGTGTCCATCCCTAGATGCATCATCCAAGCAAGTTTGGTCCAGGTAGGGCTTAAAGTTACTTGGGAACTGGGACGCCGACGCCGGGGGTATAGCATAAGCTCATCTTGACTTCGTCGAGGTGAGCTAAAAATCTGGTAAAAATACCCTTGCTTATTGTAACGTGCTAGACCCGAGTGATCTCCTTTGGATCATACTTGTTTTTCCCAAGTCTTACAGGGATGATAATGAATGTAAAAAATATACAAATACAGAGGACACTTGCCTATTGTGTAAGGTATTCAATATATACAGATAGTTTTTGTCACTTGCCTAGTGCTACAATTCAGTACACACAGACTTGGGTATATACAACGTGGTTATTTTCCACTTGTCACTAATTACAATAAGTCACCCTGGCTCTCTGTGATTCTTTGTTCACTTTGATAAAGTATAAAACAATATCCACTCTCTTGTCAACCATGACTCTTCTACCAGTGGCACTAACTTAGACCACCACAGTGTACCGGTAAACATACTGTGTACAATTACAACTTTTGCTAAATGTATAAATAATCTTTAAATCAATCTTTTATATTGCTTTCCAGGCAAGAATCTGACTTCAAGCATACTTTGCTCATTTAAACCAAACATTCATTTTTATTTTGTTTCTATGTATATATAACATTCTTTCTTGTATTCTCATTCAATCAAATAACCTGTTAATAAAATTATATACAAGGATTTCTTGATTAACATATTTAGCAAAGGGGACTAACTCTCATTTGCTTCACATCACAATTGTGTACGCTGCCTCCTAGATATCCAGAAGCAAAGAAAACATACATTTACTTAAAATTATATTTAATACATGTATTTACATTGATATTATTGCATTTTGTTTGTTTGCTTAGTACTCAGGGTCAGGGGAGAAGTTTTCAAAGCATTAATGCATTTTGCTAATTGATCAATAGAACCCCACCCAAGCTCAAGAACCCCTGATCCAGGGGCCATGAAATTCAAAATTTTGGAAGAGGCATCCTTTCTCATGATAACTATGTATTTAGTTTGTTTAATTAATACCAAGGGGCAGAGGAAAAGATTTTTTAAAGCATTAATTTATTTTCAGTATATAATAAATAAGCCCCGCTCCCCCACATGGAACCCCTGACCCTGGGGCCATGAAATTCACAATTTTGGAAGAGGCACCTCTTGCTCATCATAACTATGTACTTAGTTCATCAGCTTAATAACGAGGAGCAGAGAAGATTTTCAAAGAATTAATTTATTTTTCAGTATATAATAAATAAGCCTCCCCCCCCCACACACACATGGAACCCCTGACCCAGGGGCCATGAAATTCACAATTTTGGAAGAGGCATTCTTGCACATCATAACTATGTACTTAGTTCATCGGATTAAGATTTTCAAAGAATTAATGCATTTTCACTATATAATCATAAGAGCTCCACCCTAACACCAGAACCCCTGACCCAGGGGCCATAAAATTCTAACCCTAACCCTAATCAGCTTAATACCCAGGAGCAGAGAAGATTTTCAAAGCATTAATTTATTTTCAGTAGATAATAAATAAGCCCCCCCCCCCCCCCCCCACATGGAACCCCTGACCCAGGGGCCATGAAATTCACAATTTTGGAAGAGGCATTCTTGCTCATCATAACTAAGTACTTAATTCATCGGCTTAATACCCAGGAGCAGAGGAGAAGATTTTTAAAGAATTAATGCATTTTCACTATATAATCATAAGAACCCCGCCCTTACACCAGAACCCGACCCAGGGACCATGAAATTCATAATTTTGGAAGAGGCACTCTTGCTCATCATAACTATGTACTTAATTAATCAGCTTAATACCAAGGGGCAGAGGAGAAGATTTTCAAAGCATTAATTTATTTTCAATATATAATAAATAAGCCCCCCCCCCCATGGAACCCCTAACCCAGGGGCCATGAAATTCACAATTTTGGAAGAGGCACTCATGCTCATCATAACTATGTACTTAGTTCATCAGCTTAATACCTAGCAGCAGAGGAGAAGATTTTCAAAGCATTAATGCATTTTCACTATATAATCATTAGAGCCCCGCCCAAATATCTGGCCCCATGATCATGAAACATCTTAAGCTTAAGTCAAAATCTTTATGTTGTACTAAAATGTTGTAAAAGTCAAGCAGACCAAAATTAAAATATTTTTCAATGTTGCTATACAAAAGTGTTGTTATCTGCAAATTTAGAGATTAATTCAATAATTAATAAATATTTTACAGGCAATTGAAAATTTGACTTAAGTCTAAGTCTGTTTCATGATCCTGGGGCCAGAACCCCTGACCCTGGGGCCATGAATTTCACAATTTTGGTAGAGGGCTCAATGCTTATTACAATCATGCCAACAGTTTGACTGCTTGATGTCCAGGAGTAAAGAAGAAGATTTTAACCCGACCCAGGGACCATGAAATTCATAATTTTGGAAGAGGCACTCTTGCTCATCATGACTATGTACCGGTACTTAATTAATCAGCTTAATACCAAGGGGCAGAGGAGAAGATTTTCAAAGCATTAATTTATTTTCAGTAGATAATAAATAAGCACCCCCCCCCCCAACACACATATGGAACCCCTGACCCAGGGGCCATGAAATTCACAATTTTGGAAGAGGCATTCTTGCACATCATAACTATGTACATAGTTCATCGGCTAAATACCTAGCAGCAGAGAAGAAGATTTTTAAAGAATTAATGCATTTTCACTATATAATCATTAGAGCCCCACCCAAATACCAGAACCCCTGACCCTGGGGCCATGAATTTCACAATTTTGGTAGAGGGCTCAATGCTTATTACAATCATGCCAACAGTTTGACTGCTTGATGTCCAGGAGTAAAGAAGAAGATTTTTAAGGATTGCATTAATTTTGATGGTTATAGCCCCATCCCTCAGGCCGGGGGGGGGGGGGGGGGGGGGGGGGGGCAGGGGCCATGAATTTCACAATTTTTACTCCCCTTCATCCATAGATGCTATATACCAAAATTGGTTGAAATTGGTTCAGTGGTTCCAGAGAAGAAGCTAAAAATGTTCAAAAGTTTACAAACGACATACGACAACAGAGGAAAACAGATAGCAATAGGTCACCTGAGTGACTCAGGTGACCTAAAAATACAGAAAAATCATAATATTCTATATAGTATATACAGTGGCTACAGGTATCAAGGATACAATCTATGCCAGGTCATCAGGCCTACATCTTCTTTTCAAATTATATTTTAAAGTTTATAGGGCCAAATACTCATAAAATCACATTAAACATTGAAAATGAATTAAAAAATAAAATAAACAAAGATATTTAAAACCCAAGTCATCAGGAAATATAAATGTTAGTTTCAAAGAAAATCTCCTTTAAATACTTACTTATTGAATAGAGAAGAAGAAAACAAAATGCACAAACTAGGGAATGTAAGGAAAGCTCTAGTACATATTAGATGTGATCTACCTGGCTGCCCTGAGGAAGTAAGGAAAGCTCTAACACCTATTAGATTTGACCTACCTGGCTGCCCTGCGTGTATCCTATCCCTGTCTCTCTGTATTAAATGTTTCAATGTCATGTGACCAGCAGGGTGCTCTACAATGTGTTGATTTTCTAAACTGCCTGCTACAAATGGTTCTGCTGCAATTTCAGCCACTGCCCTCATGGCATCACTCGGGTCACCTGTAAGAATTAATTTTACACAATGTTGATTTGATATACAAATCGTTCCTGCAGATCAATGACACAGAAGTGTATATTTGACATGTTCTTAACATAAAGAACTCAGATACATGTACCGGTAATTCAAAAGTTATTTTAAGTTCCTAATACAGAATTTTTGACAAAATTCAAAAGAATTCTGAATTCCTACATGTATTATTTTACTTTAGTTCTGCTGTTCTAGAGAAGAACATTTTAAATCTTTTCCAATTTATTCCCATATACATGAATATGTAAATCTTTGATCCCCTATTGTGGGGATGGTTGTACATCAATGCTGTACAACTTATTCAATACAGCAATGCTGTTCTTGAAGGATTTTCAAAATAAATTCTCTATATATTCCAATGTAAAACTGACTTTCTATCGTGGCCCAAACTTTTCCCAAGGAGTTGAAGTTTGAACGTACACTACATGTGATATCTGTAAATCAATACTGCTGCTTTACAATTCTACATTTCTACATAAAGTTTGGACCCCCATGTGGACTTCATCCTAACCACAGGGCAGGACTTGAATACCAATTGGGTCTAGAGGAGATTTTCTTTTTCGTACCCCATCCTATTCAAATTTTTCCTCATTATCTCCCCAAAGAAAGGGCATGGTCTTTTTAAATCCCAATAACTTAAAGATGCTTTGTGTCAAGTTTGGTTAAAATTTTAGTAGATTAATAGCTCTGGAGAAGAGTGCAAATTTGTTAAACAAAAACCCCATTACAGACAGTGGATATACTTTGATCAGAAAAGTTCACTTCAGCTAGAAAAGACTTCGTACAATAATTTAATGAAATAAATGCTAGTATGTTTCAAAATGGATGACATTTTGTGATACATATTTTCTTTGCTTTTATCGAAGGAGAAACATACCCAGAGAATAGTTGAGAATTGACAGAATCAGCAGAAGCGAGCCATTCTCCAGAACGAGATCTCGAGCATGATCTACAATGTACTGTAGAAAAGGCTGAGACACCATCGTCAATAACTCTCTGTATCTCAAAGCGGCATCTTTTTTACTGAAAGAAAAGTAAATCATTTACGATCGTGACGAACAATTTCCCTCTTAATTGGCACTTTGGAGTGAAAATTCTTAAAGAATTGCATGTACTTGTGCCACAAATCCCCCTTCACAAAGATATGCATCATTTCCATAAAAGACAAGTCATTTTGAAACTACTCTTTACATGATTAAAAAAGATTAAAACAGTAATCAGTTTTTAAGGATGAATGTATAAATCTTGTTATTCCCAGTGAACCCTTCCATAATCTTTGAAAAATCATTATATCATCACACATACCACTGGTAGATAGTTCTGAATATTAAATGCAATCAAACTTGTCTACTAAAATAAGAATGCCACAGATTGTCTGCAAATTTCTAAGTAATAAGTGTTTTTCTTTTCAAATAAGGTGATAAATGACATGGAAGCCAAAGATAATTCTCACAAACTCTGAAGCTGCTTATGCAAAAATAATCACATGCTTCCATATTTGATATCATCCTCACACATTTAAAACAGAGACAGTAATTATTCTAACCTCATAGTCACTATAATCATACATGTACATATGACCTACCTACCTCATAGAAACTATGATCCCCCTCCCCCTTTTTGCCTCTACCACTTCCCTATTCAATATACATGTATTAGCCACACCTGACATAATCAACAGTCAAATTAAAATATGAAATAATTCAGAGCTGCATTCAACACTGCAGTTACTAACCTAGCTGCTATGCTAGACATCCAACACCTTTTGAAAGCACTGTATTAATTCTGTTTGTTATGGCAAGCCTAGCACACTGTTCAAGATTGTAGCTATATATAGCCACTATAATCTTGAACACAGTCCAAAGGTCACATGAAAGCATTTATGAATACATAACCCCTGATTTTAGTGGTATGTTTTTATTGACAAAACAATGGTAAATATATTCCCGATTTATGTCTCTTACCTGTGGGGGTTGCTGTCCCCCTCTTTTAGAACTCGTACAATGTCTGGCTGGAAGAAATGGGGGTCCCTGGGACACAATAAATATAGAAGAACCTTCCTGCCATGTTGGTTCTGAGCAATGTCATGCAAATTCTTAAAAATTTCCTGCAATTTCAAAAATACACTTCACTTAATTCAAAATTTTTCAGTCATTTCATTCATGCCTTAATCAAGCAACCCCCTACAAATGTATCAGAAATTGAAATCGTAAACTTTTAAAAAAAAAAACAAACATTTGCTCAAACTTATTCTTAAAAGCAAAACAAAAAAAAATCTTATTAATACAGCTGAAGTTTGGTACCTCAAACACTGATATCTCCAATATCAGGGATATGTCAAAATGATTTGGAAGTCCCAAACACTTTAAGTATTTTATGTCCAACCTTGGATATCTTAAAGTTTTTTTCCTCAGTCCCATCAAATTTGAAATAACGAGGTTTGACTGTACTTGTATATTTAAAAGACATTTCAGTTAAAAAAAACATTAAATTGAAGTAATAGGGTATGCCATCAAGCAAGAATCCACTATTAAAGTACTCATTACAGTCCTGGATTCAGATTACCTCGGTGTTTTTTTTTGGCTTTAAATTTTGGACTGTATCAAAATGAAATTTGTTATGCATCAAAATCTCTTTGTAATTTGGCAGTATATTGTACAATCCTTATGTGACTGTTGATTGAGAACTTTTTGTTGGGTGTATTTAAGCTATATAAAAAATAAAAGCAAGTACATATATTTTATTTCCAGAGTTGGTCTTCTCATCACAAAATTACTCAATAATAAATTCCTTGCATATATATGTATATTTAGGAATTTACAGTAAATCTGCAGGTAAATCCATCTTACTCCTAGTAATATCATTATGCAAGTATATGATCAGTTAAACATGTACACGTATATGGTAAAGTTATGAAGTATGGAATCTCTCTCTACATACCTCTAAGATGATTTTTCCCACCAGTTTGGTATCATCCACCACATCAAATAAAGCTATCAGCACCAAATATCCATATTCATCCTTACAAATCTTTGCAACATGTGTCTTGAAGCTCTTCATAATTACTTTTCTGTCCTGAATAAAGAAAATAAAAAGATACTGATATCAAAACATATTCAGAGTCTGATTTTTTTCCCCTGCATAAAAAATATGTAACATCGTTTGTAACATGTTTGTATTAAAATCAAGCTTTAAAACTGTTTTTAATTCTATAACAGACATGTGCTTACTATCAAGTATCCCTGTTACATTATAAACATGAAATGAGGGGGTTAACACATACCTTACTAGTCCCATACCACAAGCAACACATCGCTGTTCTAGCCCCCTCCCTTGTGTGGATCATGTGTACAAGGTGTTCTCTTAAGGACTCAATCATATCCTTTAAAGCAGACAAGAACTCAATCACATAATAAATCACAAATAAGAATTATCTATCTAGTTATCAAAGAATGTCAATATTAAACCCATGCAATGATTGCCATGAACAAGTAAAACTTACCGATTTCATTTTGTCTTTAGCATGAACAAAGAATTCATGAAAGATCTTGTGAACCATAGAATGTCCTAGTATTGTTCTAGAGAAAAAAGAAGAGTACAAAGTTATTTAACTGGGAATCAACTTCTAGTGTAAATGAACGTCTACATCATACATGTATGTATATTCAATAATCTAAGTTGATGTCTCTCTGAACAAATCACAAGCATACAATCTATCCTGTTTACACTCTCTGAATTTTTAACTGACTGAACATGTACAGCTGTGCATGTTAATATTTGTCCCTTTGTTTAAATTTTAACTCACTTATCAATCAATGGCAGCAGTGCTTCTTTCATGTTACTCAGAATCATCTCTTTCTTGTCAGGTTGGACTAGTAACAACTGATCTAAAGATTTGATGTCAGGTGTCTGTAAATATTAAATATACAGGATTAAACTTGTCCATGACTTTGCTATGCAATTAATTGAAAAAAATAATAATACATTTCTTTACAGTGTACAATGTCATCAAGTAACAAAAAAATTTAAATGGAAGATGATTCATGTGTAATGATTTTGTTTTGTTTTTAGGGAGAGTGAAGGTGGGGGTTAAATAATTCATTTAATACAAGATTTTGGGTGTGAAAATTACATTCATGTAAAAGAGGATTTAACAAACCAGATATAAGATGTATATTTCAGTATATGAACTATTAGCATACCTTAAAAAGAGTAAAACTAGGGCCATAAAAATCCTCCAGAAGAGACAGTCTCTGACTTGCATTGGCATAATCATTATAGGCCAACTCTACCACGTCAGAGGCTTCCTGCAATGCATTTACAAAATATACTGATGTTTTAAAAAGGACAGACCAATACATGTACATATGAAATTGACAGAAAAATCATCAACATGATCAGTATTTTGCAATGAATTTCTAGGAACTGTACTACTAGTATCTAATTTTATTACATTGTTGGATATCCATGGGTGACCATCAATGATGATGAATAAAAGACGAGATCACCAGTGGGTATCTGTCACTATCTGACGATGCTTTTATTTATATGTATATCATCATTTGTTACATGTATGAAAAAAAATCATCCTTCATGATTAGAACTTATTGTTATTTCCCATTCTTACCAACAATTTGATTATTAACATAGAAACTTGTATCCTTATTACATTTAGTCTATCTGTATTCATAGTCATTTCTTGACCAGACAGTATGTACTTACAGCATGTCTGACTAGCTTCCTAACATTTCCATGAAAACTTTTGATAACTGCATTTTTCATAGGCTTTGACCTAAAATAAATATATGAAGTACATGTATTACATTGAAATAAATTTGTTGACTTGATATGCAAAATATATCTTGTGCTTGATAACCAAATGTTTCTGATCTGCTGCACCCCTCACAGACCCTTGGCCTTTTATGCAATTTAAAAGTTGTTGATATCCTTACCACACACACAGATAATGTAACAAAAATAAATGAGTATTTCAATACTGAACTATTGAAAGCATATTTACTGAGCATAGATCAGGCAATAAATATTTAATAGGTGTAAGACCAACACTATTTAGGCCCCAAAAATTTAATGAAAAGATTCTCAGGCCAAAAATTTCAAAATTCAATGCTGCAGACAATTTTTTTAAAGCAGTTGTTATCTCTACTTTCATGTCTGTCGTTCAACAAAATGATGATATCAGCTGATTCTTACTTTTTTTGTTCTCTTACATTAATTATAGTATATACTCAACTTTAAATAATGTTATTACAAACATTTGTTTAAAAGTTAATTAAAAAAATTAACAAGAACAAGAAGTCTGTGAGCCAATGCTCACTAATAATACCCCCGCTCTGATGTGAATACACAAGTTCAGTTATGGACAAACACAGTGATAATCAGGAAATTGACATCGGATTTGTAAAAACTGAATCCCAACATATGGCATGCCTAAACAAAGAAAAAATTTCAAGCATCTGCGATGAGTAGTTGCTGAGAAAACTATGACCAAAATTTGTTATGTATGGTACGGACAGACGCACGGATAAACAGGAAGTTGACATCGAATTCGTACAAAAATGAATCCCACCATATGGCATGCCTAAACAAAGAGTGTGTTAAAATTTCAAGCACCTCTGATGAGTAGTTGCTGAGAAAACTGCGACCAAAGTTTGTTACGGACAGACAGACAGACGGACAGACAGACGGACAGACAGACAGACAGACACACAAGGGTAAAACAGTATACCCCCCTCTCCTTCGGAGCGGGGGTATAAATATATTGTTTATCTGATAATAACTTCTATCTTTAAATATAAATAACTCAAATTTCTTTTCATTGGAAAAATACAAAATTGAGTGAGTCATCTCCATTTTTAATATGTCAATAAAATTAATAAATTCGGCAGTTTTTGACCTGATGAGGCAGTGCCTGAGAAACTATTGATTAATTTTTGACCTTAGAGAATGGTCATACTGTTATCTAGTGGATCATTGTTTGAGCTTTTCACTCTCCAAAACATACAGTCAATAAACATTCTCAATGAAGAAAAAATTTACTTTTACCTTGTATGCACTTATTTCTTAATTCATTCATTAATTAAGTGTTATCAAATGAGTCCAATCACCTCTCAAAAATAATGAATTTGATAAGATGACAGGCCAACAGTTGTGAGAGGTAGACAGGATCAGATACTCTAATGAAGGTGAAAACATCTAAAAAAAGGCACATAAAGTAACTAAAATGTACTACTATAAATAGTCTTTAATTTAAATTTATGTTTATTTCCTGTTACACTTCTACTAAAGAGTACTGAGTATTTAAAGTCCTTTATCAAACTGCTTACCCATATATGAGAAATTTCTTAACAAGAAACTTTGCATACTTGGACTTAGACATTAAGACTATTTGATCTGAAAAGAGAGAAAAAAATTCTTTACAATTAAACTCTATCTGAATAAGAGACTTTGTGATGCTTAGTATTATGAACATCTTATGATTTATATATAAAACAACATATGTATAATGATAAATATACATACAAGTCAATACATTTATTTGTATAAATACACTGTATATCTATTATGAAATAGTAGTATGTGTTCAACAAATTTCTTGGAAACTTAATACACAAGTCAAGAGGGAAATGATAACATTTGATTAATTCAAATTGCTCTTCTTTTCAAAATGAGAAAAAAAATGAAATGACAGTGCATACCTTTAATCTCCTGAAAAACAATTTCTCTCTGTTCTTGTGATCCGTATTGTATTAAACATTGGAGAACGCGGGCTGTGTCATGAGCAAAGGCAAACTGTCAAAGGAATATACCAAAAAACAATTTTAATATGCTACTGGATCAAAAACTGGACAAAACTTGAGTATTTTAGAAGTGAATTAAATGTTTGTTTTTTCTACTGTTTACCGGTACATACATCTTTCGATAAAATTCAATGAATTTTTAAGCCTTCTAGATACAGTAGATCCAGTAAAGTGACATTTCTTGAAAAAATAATTTTGACTACAGCAAACTTGTGAACCACAACAAGCCTATAAGGATGTCATTAAATACCAGAAAGAATCATTTATGTGGTTTCTAATTTTGTTTTCATACTCAGTTAATTAAGCCCTACCTCTTTCATATTGCCTTTGACCATTTCAAGTAATTCGTTACACATAGCAACTTTCTTCTCTTCTGGAACATCTTGTCTAAAAATAATGTTAATTTTGGAAATGACACACACAGTTGAACTTCAGTATCTCAAACATCAATATCTCAAATTCCTTAGATATGTTATTGTGAGTTGGAAGTCCCAACCACTTCTCCATTTTGTATTTTAACCTTGATATCTTGAATCCTGGAGTATCTCAAAGTTTTATTTTCTCGGTTCCACTAAATCAAGATAAAGAGTTTTGACAGTATATATCCTTTCTTTTATATATTTAATTTTGAAGATGATTCTCTACATTTTTATGGATGGTTATAAGAGATAATTCAAATGACTTCCAAATACAAACAAACCTTCTAAGATTTTCCCAGATTTTCTTTGATCTTTGAATTGCTTCAAAATTGTTCTTAAGCATTTTCCTTACTTTCTTTCTTTCTTTAAATGGCAATTCTTTCAATTTTGTTTTCCTTGATTCTGAAATATAAGGAAACAGTATGAATCACTTTACTTAACTGTTACTGTTAGTGACAGTGTGCAAAACACAGGGTGTTTCATTCTCTTGACTTTTAACATACCGGTACCTTATATACATTGTACTTGTCAAATTCATAGTCACAATATATTCTCAAGAAAATTCTTTACAATACATAAAAAAAAAAAAAATCCAAATACAAAGAGCAACACCTAGATTATGGTTTGCAAATACAAGTGAGGACTTCAAAATGTCACAATAGATTATATATGTACTAGTATTATCTATTTTTAATATTAATTTTTTTTTTTGCAATAGATAGTTTTCAGTAGGCCAAAATTATCAAGAGTTATTTCCCTTTGGCCGCCATATTGGAGGTCAACATGCTCATATTCCTTCATTATTCAACCAACTTTAACTTTACATACTGGCCATTGTGGAGTAGGCAGCATTGTTTTTCTAAAAAATATACATCTGTTAAAGCTTCCTTTTTTTTTCAAAATTTTTATTCCATAAAGATTTTCCTCCAAATATTTCTGCTACTCTCTCTTAAATTTGGTAAGACAAAGAGGAAAAATTACCAGGTTGACCACCAAAATGGCGGCCAAGGGAAATAACTCGAAGAGAAAATATGTCATATGAAAACTATCTATACATCTGGATATGTTCAGAGTCACCTGATTTTTCTTCCATCTGGGATTCATCCAGTCTTTTTTTCCTGACTCCAAGTGCTGTACGACTCTCATGAAGTTGTTTCTTTGTTTTCAAAGTCCGAAGTTTTCCAGCTGCATTGCTGGCTGCTCTTTTAATCTTTACCTAACAAATCAACAGTACATCTTCATCGATTATGATAGGAAAAGGAACAGTGTATATTACTGTTACTTTACTTACTTAGTATGTCAACTAAAATATTTTCAAAAGCAAGTTACTTTTCAGGGTATATAGTCCAACCCCCCCCTCCCCCCCCCCAAAAAAATGCAGTATACATGTACAATTCATACATCAACAGGTACACATATAAAGTAGCATGTTAATATTAATAACACGATTATAAACCAACATCTGATATTTTTAGGATTAGTTGACCCCTAGTTTTTTTATTTACATTGATCTGTTTAAACATGATACACATGCAACCATTTAAAAATGTATTTTGATGGACCCAAACATATAAACAACATTTTTGGACTGGGTGTCTGGGACCTATACTTTATGAGTCATGGAGGAAAACTGAGCAAAATTAAAGTGAATGGAAATTTCTATAATAACATCTAATTACATGTCATGCATAATTTGTGAATATCTTCCACTTAACTAAATTTCATGTACATCAGAAAAGTAAAAAATATTAACCCTGGGCCTGTATTATGTCCCAGTTATTTTCAGAGTACCTTCATTGATAGTGTTACCTTCATTGATTTTCTCCTTTCTAGAGGCTGGGGCTCCTCCTCTGGTATATTGGCTACAGCTGGAATGTTTTCTACTGACTTGTCAGACTCTACTCCTTCTGCTACTTCTCTGATGACTTCTGGTCTGTTCTGAAGCACAAGCTTACTGCTCTTCTTTCTATTGAATGACCTTTCTGCACCATCTGGCTGTCCTCTGGCCTTCTGTACAGCCTTTTCCCATGTCATGTCATGTCGACCTCTTGGATTCCTGAATGTTGTCATCATGGACACGTCTGACACTGGTGCAATGGCACTTATCTGACTCAATGTGTCTGGTGTATCAGTAACGTCCAAGGAAGACAAGTCAGTATCACTATACATAGACTTCTTTTTCTTGACCATGTGCTTTTTCTCAATAACTTCAATATTATCTTGTTCTACTTTTTTCTTTCGTTTCCTTGGTGACTGGGCCTCAAAAGAGTCATCATTGTCTGTATTAGGTGGGGCTCTTATCTTGGTTGGGGGTTTATGATACAGACTGTCTCCCTCTGGGTTGCCCCTCATGCTATTCTGTTTTCTATTTTTACTTCGTGGCGGACGCCTCCTCGTTCGGGTCGGTTCTTCTTCAAATGACGAATCTTCCATTTTGTATTGCATATGTCTATTAAAATTATTTTTAAACATTCAATATTAACGAATATATTGCTTTTCGTTGTTTGAACAACAGATTGTCAGAATAAGACAAGACTAGTGAAGTTAAAAGTCGTAAAAATAAGATAATCAAAAATTAGGAAATATTCAAAGACACATATATTATACAAATATTGCTAATCAATAATATAAATAACACTGAAACAGCTGTTGTACCTTCTTTGGCTTGGTCTGTTTTCAAAATCTTTTCCCTCGTGTGCGTGTTTTGAATCTGTAGTCGTAAAACTATAGGAAATAGTAAGGAAGGTAAAAGACTGTTTTCAAAAGTTAAACTTTAATAATTTATCTTAAATTTACTTCTTCTTTTAAAAAAAAACATTACTTCGATTACTCCAATATCATTTGAAATATTTTGCGACAACCAACGTTCAATTAGGTAATGTGTACGTTTGAACTTCGCGTCTTCTACTGAAATATAAAGATATGTTGAAATATATAAAATGTATACGACATAAAAAATGAAATGAAATACATGAAGTGATAATTTGAAAATTGTGAAATTTGACTATTATACGTGCTGGTGAATACTTAAATCTTGGTATGAGTTAACATTGTATTTTCACTTTCATTTTACCTATCACGTTAGGATTGTATGAAATTTTTGTTAATTTTCTATCTAATAGTTTTAACAGTAAAAGTAACGATGATTTCTAAAACACTAAGAACAATAATTATGGGGCCTCCGGGTTCTGGAAAAGGCACAATATCTTCTAGAATCGTGAAAGATTTTAACCTGAAACACTTATCTAGTGGGGACCTCCTGAGATCTCAGATTCATAACAAAACAAGTAAGCTGTTTTATTACTGAGTATTTCATCAAACTTACAAGAACAACATACAGTTGAACTCCCTTTGCATCCCTTTTCCTTAAACTGTTTAACAGTGATGTGTCAAATCAGGGACATACACAAGGGAACAGGAATACCGTATTATATATAAGGTCTGTGCATGTCATGCCTAGCTGCCCTCCCAGATCATTTGTTATTGTTTCCAGTAATATTTTATTTGAAATGTGTTTTTATTCCCATGTAAAAAGAAAAAAATGTCACAAGTAATGTTGTAGAAATGTATATTTAACTGGAATTTACTGCATGGGGAGGGGGGATGTCAGACTGTCCTTAGGCTAATTATTTAATTATTTTGGTGACATTACAGAAACAGTTTTAGGATTTGTCAGTATATATATCTACTGTGAAACAGACAAAATATTTCATCAAAATATTTCATCTTAATGTTAAGCTTAATTAAGGTTCAATTTACAGGTTTTCAGATTGCCATTCGCCATTTGCCGATAAAAATTCAAAATGGCCAGAAAAAATAAAATTTAACTGCTGAAATGGCCTATAAGTTTAACACTGAACAGACGTAATGGCTGATTAAATTCTGTATGTAAAGGCCGGTCAAATAATTTTTTTTCCATTGAGATCCAATTTATTTCTTTTACTACTTTCTGCTACTGCAGATTTCATCAGCCAATGACAGACGGGTATTAGATCTTGATCACCAGATCGCTTTATGCTATTTCTTGTTGCTGATACGCTTCTTTACCAATATCAACATTGAGTAGTGCACAAGCACATGCACCGCAACTTCTTGTGGAATATAATATTTAATGGGCAGTAAACTCTGCAATTTCGGAATTAGAACTCATTTGAATGCTGTGAATGAAACTGAAGAATGAAAAAGATAATCTAAAAAAAAAACAGAGAAAATCACACTGAAAGAGATGCGAAGATTTCGGAGTACATGGCTTTGCATTAACTGTAGGTATGACTCAAAGTCACCAAGCACAGGCAAAACGTACGATCCTCTCTTTGGCCTCGGATAGTAGAGAGCTCTGAGTAAGCTCTGGTCTGTGCAAGGTCTTAGAGAATGGGCATGATGGTGATCGCATGTAACTAGCTTCACTTAATAAGAATCCAGTAAAAACACGACTTTTAAATGTAAAAAAGGTTATTTTTTCCGAAATAAAATAAATACGATTGAGCCACACTTGTTTAATATTTTATTTCTAAGGTTATTTACCTGACTTCATTTAATTACGTGGTGAAAGAATTGTTAAAAGAATTGTATATTTTCGACTATTAGTATGCTAGATAGAATGTTCTGTCGTTAAAATGAAAAAAGTCCTACAGACCAGACCTGTCCTGAGACACAGTTACATTATTTTAACTATTAATTGGCCTATAATTTTAAGAGATTTAGGACAGAATGGCCTATAACTTTTTTGGTAAATATGCCATGTCCTATATTTGCTTATTTCAATCTGAAACCCTGAATTTAAGACATATGTTCAAAGTATATGTATTAAGATTTGATTAAGGTACACAACATGCATAAAGACTGTGTAGAAAATCAGTAATGACTTCAGTTTTTAGCTCGTCTCAACGAAGTTGGGGAAGCTTATGTAATACCCTCGGCGTCGGCGTCCCATGTTAAAGTTTTTGGTGCAGTTTTCTTTTCAAGCACTTTTATGCCCTATATTAATCAGAGATGCATGGATGATGCTTCTAGTATGTTTCATTGTACCTGTCAAGGTTTCAGATGCTGCAATTTCAGCTGAAGAATGACCAGGTTAATGTTTCTGGAGCAGGTTAAAGTTCTTAGAGCAGGTTAAAGTTTTTGGAGCAGGTCTCATTTTCAAGTAACTATAAGCCCTATATTGACCAAGCTTGCATGGATAATACATCTAAGGATGCACACTACCATGCTTGCTTCGGATGTTGGATCTGACCTACATTTTCCAGATGAGTGACCAGGCTAAAATTTTTAGAGCAGGTCTCATTTCCAAGTAACTTTAAGCCCTATGTTGACCACACTTGCATGGATGATACATCTAAAGATGCACACTACCATCTAAAGATGCACACTACCAGGCTTGCTTCAGATGCTGTATCTGACCGACATTTTCCAGATGAGTGACCAGGTTAACGTAAACTATTTAAGGGTTATCTGAACCAAACTTGCATGGATGATGCATCATAGGATGAACACTCTCAAACTTGCTTCAGATGCTGGATATGTCTTACATTTTCTGGATGAGTGATTAGTTTAAAGTTTTTAGGTAAGTCCATTCCCAAGTAACTGCAAGCCCTATCGGACCAAAGTTGCATAAATGTTACATCTAGGGATGCACACTACTAGATTATTAGTGTGGGACTTTGCCTTACTTAAAGACAACATTCGTTGAGGTGAGCTCTGTAATCTCCGATTACCTATATTTGCATTGTGTTATAGGTGCTTTGCCATCATATACTGAAACGCAAAAGAAATGCAACATCCTATTTTAGGGGGGAAATATTATACATAGGATATAATTTTGTATCTAAAAAGTAAGGACATCTTCAACTTTGTAAATAGCGGTAATTTAACGGTTGAATGATTTTCATACCATTACCGGAAGTTAAGTTTGAGTCCGCTTAACAGAAATCAAATATGCATGTTTAACAAGATATTTGGCAATAAAATGGGGTTTTAAGAATTTGTATTTGTTCATCATAAGTAATGAAGCAATGTTACGAAAAATAAATTCTTCTTTCTTTTCCGTAAGTGATGCCAAGGCTTCCTAAAAATGACTTAAGTACGCATTTCCATTGGTCTAGCTGGAAAATCTCAAAATAAAGGTGATGGAGAGTTGCAGATGCAAATATGCAACACATCACGCCTCAACAGGCTCTTACGTATCATTAGCATGAATGACAGTCCTTGGACCGGAAGTCCAAGGGTTACTACACTGCGCTTGGCTAGAGAAAATTCGACCTCATCATCTGAAAAAACAGGCATTTAAGAATGGCAAAGAATATTTCTTTCGCTCAGATCTCAAGATTGATGAACCTACTGCATCGTAGAAATCAAGCTGCAACTGTTGTACATGGCAGTCATGCACGCTTTAATTGAATGGCCGGGGTGGGGGATGTTTTAACATTCATGTGTTACTTTCTAAAGTTAAAAGATTATAATTTAACATTTTTATCAAATCTCTGATGTGTATAAATCGAGTTTTACCTTACTGTATTCATTTTTGAAAATCATAAGTTAAAAAAATTCAAATATTTGCAGATTACTGCTTGTTGTGTTTCTTTTGCGTTTCAGTATATAATTTTAAAGAGCTGGGGGGTTGTGGCCATTTTTAGACTATATTGATCTCCTTTAGAAGAAGAGCTCCATATGAAGATATAGAAAATGATCAAATTTTAAAACTAAAATTTTTGAAATTTTTCTTTGCCAAATGATAGTTGACAGCTTAAGATATCATATCTAAAAAATTAAGTTAAATCTGGTGGTTAATTTGTGGTTAATTTGTTGACCCCCCAGCCTCCTTAAATAATTAATGTTCTTAGCCATACCAGAATCACTCCATGTCTCATTGGTTATATTATTAAAGCCATTAAGGTAACCAAAAGAACAGAATAATCTTGTCTTTATGGGGGATTGTTCCTGTCTGCAATGTGAATTTACATAGCAATTGTACATGCAAATTGTGTGTGTGTATATATATATATATATATATATATATATATATATATATATATATATATATATATATATATATATATATATATATATATATATATATATATATATATATAAGATAATATCTTTTGAATGTTTTACAGAGGAAGGCTTACAAGCTAAAACATTCATTGATAAAGGTCAATTAGTCCCTGATAATGTTATGGTTCAGCTAATTCTGAATGAACTGCAGAAACTGAAACATGATAGTTGGCTTCTTGATGGTAAGTGAATTTCAATGACAGTCAATTAATATAGTTTAATTTAAAGGTAATTATAAATGTAATAAACAATTACATTTATCAATGACAGTTACTTCATGTTAGAAATTTTAACTAAAATGTGGTTATAATAAAGGTGATGAATGTTTGCCTTTATTAATAGCAGCCACTTACTGTGAAATCATTTGATTTCATGATGGCTCAATATTCATGGAATCTGTGGGTACCTTTCATCCATGAATTATCATCCTCCATGAATTAATACACTAATGTTTCTAATTAAGTCATATTCCCTTTTGTAGATATTAGTGAATACAAGAAATTATGCTCCCACAAACCTTTAAAATTAAAGCAATCCACGAAAATTGGTCCCCACAAATTTTGATGATTCCACAGTGTGTCGAAATTTTAATACATGTATTGCCGATTGTTTAACCAAGAATGGTTGTATGTTGAAGGTTTTCCCCGGACTGTGCCTCAGGCTGAGGCTCTTCACACCAAGGAACCAGCTGACGTTGTTATTAATCTTAATGTTCCTTTTGAAATCATAATGCAGAGATTGACAGTCAGATGGACACATGCTCCAAGTGGCAGGATCTATAACACAGAGTTCAATCCTCCAAAAGTTCCAGTATGTATTAAAAAGCATTGAAAAGTTCTTATATTGCTTAGTAAGAAGTCTTTTCTATTGCTATCTGTTTTCATCAGTCCTCGTGCATCATGGGACATGCATCATCCGTTAACATTTTTAGCTTCTTCTCTTAGAACCGGTGAATCAATTTCAACCAATTCTGGCATAGAACATTTATGAGTAAAGAGGAAGAAAAATTGTGAATTTTGTATTCCCTGCCCCCCTGGGGCCTTAGGGGTGGGGCTAAAGCATCAAAATTAGTGCTATCTGTAAAAATCTTCTTCTTTACTCCTGGACATCAAGCAGCCAAACTGTTGGCATGATTGAAATGGGCATTGAGCCCTCTAACAACATTGTGAAATTCATGACCCCAGGGTCAGGGGTTCTAGAGTTAGGGTGGGGATCTAATGAACATAGAGTGAAAATACATAAATTCTATAAAAATCTTCTCCCCTCCCTCTGCATAAAAAGCAGATAAACAAAGTGCATGGTTATGATGATCAAGGGTTTGTGAAATTTATGGCCCTGGGGTCAAGGGTTCTGCTGGAGGGGGCTTTATTGATTATATAGTGAACATTTATTAATTCTTTGAAAATCTTCTTCTCTGCTCCTAGGTATTTAGCAGATAAATTAAGTGCATGATTATGATGATCAAGAGTGCCTCTTCTAAAATTGTGAAATAGGTGACCCCAGGGTCTGGGGTTCAGAAGGGGGGGGGGGGGGGGGTCTGTTGAATATATAGTGAAAATGCATCATTTCTTTGGAAATATTCTTCTATGATCCTGGGTATTTTGCAGATAAACCAAGTGCATAGTTATGATGAGCAAGGGTGCCTCTTCCAAAATTGTGAATTTTGGGGCCTTTGAGCTAGGATGTTTTGGTGTTAGGACAGGGCTCTATTGATTATTTAAGTGAAACTGCATTAATTCTTTGAAAATCATCTTCTCTGCTCCTAGGTATTTAGCAGACAACTAATTGCATGCATATGGTTATGATGACCAAGGCTGTCTTTTCAAAAGGTTTGAAATTCTCAGCCCCTGGCTCAGAGGTTTTGTGTTAGGGTTGAGCTCTTGAATATATAGAAAAATTGCATTATTTCTTTGAAAATCTTCTTCTCTGCTAATGGGTATTAAGCACACATACTAAGAACAGTGTACATGGTCATAATGAGCAAAGGTGCCTCTTCCAAAATTGTGAATTTCTTGGTCCCTGAGCTCTGGTGTTAGGGTGGGGCTATGTTAAAGTGAAAATGCATTATTTCTTTAAAAATCTTCTTCCTTGCTCTTGGGCATCTAAGAGGCAAACAGAGTATATAAAGTTGTAATGAGCAAGGGTATTTTTACCAGATTTCAATGGGTTTTCAAAATATGTGTTTTTTTCCCCTGCATTTCTAGAGTCAAGGAATACCGTATATACTCGCCTATAAGTCTGTTTTTTGGGAGTTAAACTTTAGTCCAAAATTCTTTATCCGACTTATATGCGAGTTATAAACAGATTGCTGTTTTAGCGGGTCAATCCCTCCAATTTAAGCTTAAAAAATACAACCGACTTATAGGCGAGTATATATGGTAACTGATCTGCTCATTTGGCTGTGTTGTAGTGATATCAAAAGAGCACTATTGTTTAGTAAACCATTTCTCTAAAAACTAAACAATATTTTCCCTAGGGTAAAGATGATGTGACAGGTGAGGATCTGATACAAAGGGAGGATGATAAACCAGAAACTGTAAGGAAGAGGCTGGAAACCTATCAGAATCATACAGAACCAGTACTTAACTACTATAGGTAAACATTGAACATAACTAGAGGTACTGTGAGTGACCTCACAGAATAATAACACAACAGAGCCAGTACTTAACTACAATAGTTAAACATTGAACATAACTAGAGGTACTGTGAGTGACCTCACAGAATAATAACACAACAGAGCCAGTACTTAACTACTATAGGTAAACATTAAACATAACTAGAGGTACTGTGAGTGACCTCACAGAATAATAACACAACAGAACCAGTACTTAACTACTATAGGTAAACATTGAACATAACTAGAGGTACTGTGAATGACCTAACAGAATAATAACACAACAGAACCAGTACTTAACTACTATAGGTAAACATTGAACATAACTAGCACTCACAGAATAACAACACAACAGAGCCAGTACTTAACTACTATAGGTAAATATTGAACATAACTAGCACTCACAGAATAACAACACAACAGAACCAGTACTTAACTACTATAGGTAAACATTGAACATAACTAGAGGTACTGTGAGTGACCTAACAGAATAATAACACAACAGAACCAGTACTTAACTACTATAGGTAAACATTGAACTTGACCTCACAGAATAATTAAACAACAGAACCAGTTATTAACTACTATAGGTAAACATCGAACATAAACTAGACCTCACAGAATAATAACACAACAGAGCCAGTACTTAACTACTATAGGTAAATATTGAACATAACTAGCACTCACAGAATAACAACACAACAGAACCAGTACTTAACTACTATAGGTAAACATTAAACATAACTAGAGCTCACAGAATAACAACACAACAGAACCAGTACTTAACTACTATAGGTAAATATTGAACATAACTAGCACTCACAGAATAACAACACAACAGAACCAGTACTTAACTACTATAGGTAAACATTAAACATAACTAGAGCTCACAGAATAACAACACAACAGAACCAGTACTTAACTACTATAGGTAAATATTGAACATAACTAGCACTCACAGAATAACAACACAACAGAACCAGTACTTAACTACTATAGGTAAACATTAAACATAACTAGAGCTCACAGAATAACAACACAACAGAACCAGTACTTAACTACTATAGGTAAATATTGAACATAACTAGCACTCACAGAATAACAACACAACAGAACCAGTACTTAACTACTATAGGTAAACATCGAACATAAACTAGACCTCACAGAATAATAACACAACAGAGCCAGTACTTAACTACTATAGGTAAACATTAAACATAACTAGAGCTCACAGAATAACAACACAACAGAGCCAGTACTTAACTACTATAGGTAAATATTGAACATAACTAGCACTCACAGAATAACAACACAACAGAGCCAGTACTTAACTACTATAGGTAAATATTGAACATAACTAGCACTCACAGAATAACAACACAACAGAACCAGTACTTAACTACTATAGGTAAACATTAAACATAACTAGAGCTCACAGAATAACAACACAACAGAACCAGTACTTAACTCCTATAGGTAAACATTAAACATAACTAGAGCTCACAGAATAACAACACAACAGAACCAGTACTTAACTACTATAGGTAAACATTGAACATAACTAGAGCTCACAGAATAACAACACAACAGAACCAGTACTTAACTCCTATAGGTAAACATTAAACATAACTAGAGCTCACAGAATAACAACACAACAGAACCAGTACTTAACTACTATAGGTAAACATTGAACATAACTAGAGCTCACAGAATAACAACACAACAGAACCAGTACTTAACTACTATAGGTAAACATTAAACATAACTAGAAGTACTGTGAGTGACTTCACAGAATGATAACACAACCCCTGCTCAAGTTATAAACTGTCTTTTTGTCAAATTTCAGATAAACATAAGCTTGTTCCCCTAAAGGAGAAGATTCCCCACATATTGAAAATTTGAACCTCTTTATAAGCCTTATCCATTACCCAGGAATGTAAACCTATAAAACTCTATGACCTCATTCTCAAGTTATGAAACTGTAACCTTTACTTAAAAACTATTATAGTATATATTTGCCCAATCTGTTATTTATGTATGTATGTCTGAATTTTAACAGGAACCTAGGAATCCTCGAAGAATTTACAGGAAAATATTCCAATGAAATATGGCCAAAGGTGCACAAATTCCTATCAACAAAGATTGAACCACTTCAGTACACTGTTTACAAGTAACTCTTCTACATACCTCTTTATACTGCTTTCAGTTTTATTGTTTGATTTTGTTTGTCATTGATTGTTTATGATTTAATATGGCTGTGCCATTATGATTATACAGGTTTACATTTATGAAGAATTTATATATATTTACTTTTATTTTTGAATTACATTTGCACTTTAGTGATTCATTAGAGGAAGCTGTTCCATTTAGATGATACTTGAAATTTGTTCTGTTACACTTCTCAGTATTAAGTTTCTCCAAAGACGAAAATATTATATACAAATGTACATAACAAACATGTTTAGTTCTTTATTTCATATTTTCAATATACAATCCAGATACAATTTGTTTTTTTTTTGTTTGAACATTGTTTTATATATGATATACAGTAAAACACACTTATAGAGAAGTGCCAGGGACGAATCATTTTGATTTGATTGATAAATGTAACATTTTATCCAGTAAGTTAATTACAGTAAAACACGCTTATAACGAAGTGCCAGGGACAGACAAATTTGCTTCGTTATAAGCTTAATTTGTTATATCCGTTAATTCTTCAATATATTTTAAAGTCAAGGGGAATGAAAATCACTTTGCTAAAAGTGTCATTTCATCATAAGTGTGTTTGCTATAAGCGTGTTTAACTGTATACATTTTAAAACTACAGGTAGAGTAATTGGCTATAAATTCATTATGAGCCACTTTGCCATAACTTTGTTTTACTTTAGTGTGTAATTTTGGCAAGGAAAAAAAAAAATTTCTTATTGAAAAACTTTTAAAACTTAGGTAGGTTTCAATATCTTTGAGCATTACCTATTTGACTTTATTTTAGTGATAATAACTGTGACCATCAAAAATCAGTTGCATAAAACCAAATAACCCTCAACACATACCAGTATATAGTATAGAGTTTACATGTGTGTAGTTGGTGTACATTGTAAAACACATTTATAGCAAAACATATATGGTAAATTTTTGCTTAGGAAAATTAAGTCATAATTTTTCACCCAGTATATGTATATGACTAGACAACAAGTGGATTCTTAGCTGGACATAACTGCAGGTATGAGGAAGCAATATTAGACAGCTGTCTTTGGTTGCTTGTTCTAACTTTATTGATGAACAACTGCTATAAACAGAGGAATAATATACTGAGTTAGCTTTACTTTATATTAATTATAATGTTTGATACTGTTCATGATACAAACCTATTGTTGATGTGATGAAATGATTTTGGTTTAGAATCAGGTTATTCTAGTCATTTTTTGTAAGATAAAACCTATTATCACAGATATTACTGTGTCATTGCTGCAGGTGACCTTTTTATGTTGAAAGTATGAATCCTCCCCCAATACATCGAAAAATTAAGTTACAAAAAAATACATGCTTAAAGACACACACACACATACACAACACAAATACAGAGTTCATAAATTATTATCAAAAAATTTATGTTCTTTCTAGACAAAGTGAAAAGAATCCACTAGAAGTGATTGGACAGAGTGTGTATAGGTCTTTTTTTATCATGAGGTAGAAAAATGAATAATAGATGTGTTAACAATTCATATCTTTGTACATCCTTTATGATCTTAACACCATTAAGACATTGATTTTCTGAACTTTGATGTATCTTTATGCTGTAAGAGTGTGTTAATTAGTTTCTTAAACATTTTGCTCAGTGTGCATATCTTTTGTGAAAAGAGCTTTTCTTTTCATACACAGAGGTTGAATGGTACATCATGTGAGTATAAGATAAGGTATTATCTCCAAATTGTTTGTTAAATAAAAACAGATAGAGCTTTCTAACTATCTCCATTGTTAGTAGTTGTAAATGAGGAGCATTATTAAGTAGTCAACACTACATTAATACACACTGTTATATTAAACTCTAGGGACAATGTTCTAGTGTAAATTAATTATCCCTTGCATCTTATTGGTTTTTCATTATACTATAGAAAAAGGATAGAAAAAAAATATGACTTTTGAATAGGAACAAAAGTCTTGAAAAGGTACTGAAGCAGCCAATCACATTCATATCAAAAGTCAGTGAGTTTTTGCTTAGAACAAAACCAAGTCAAAGTAGTGAAAAATTAACATTATGACAATGTACATTTATTTTAAAATGAAATATTTGTTGGCCAATGGTTTAACAGTGTTTTACACTACACATTTATAGAAAAGGTATTGAAATGTTGGTTTTTATTTTTAGTAAAGAAGTGTTTTAGTAATGTACATTCTTATTAAATCATGTGGCTTTACAAAATTTATAGATTTCTAGGATGCTCTACTTGGGTTAATTTTACCAGCATTTACTCTGAGGAAGCTATATAGCTAAAACTGAATGAAAAGATCATACAGAATTAATACTAGACTAAGATACCTACCTTTTCAAATGTGGTTCAAGAAAAAATCACGCATATTGTGAAATCTTGGTTCATCAGTACAAATATGAAAAAATTCAAAAAAAGATTCTGCTTTGCTGGATCTTTAGATATCATTATTTCCATAATCACTTCATTAGATCATGGCTAGTTTATAACCACTTTTTTCTTTGTATAATTTGTATCCTGGTAAAACCAATAAGCATTATAAGCTAAAATTTTATATGTATTTCTTTTTGAAAAATTTCCCATGTTATATATCATGAAATGTAACTGAAAATTATTGAAATTGGAATATAAAATAAAAGTTAATTAAAGTTTATTTATTTTTCGTTTTTTCTTCATTTTTTTTATATCTTGCTCTCTCTCTCTCTCTCTCTCTCTCTCTCTCTCTCTCTCTCTCTCTGCATAATCAAATTATTATTATTATTTTGATGGACAAGAACATGTAACTAGATGCATGAATATTTTTATTACATGAAATTCTAATTTATACTTCTGTAAGTGGTTAATAAAGGGATACAAAAAATGAAAATTCTTTTTTACTCCATGAATAAATCAGCATTTGTGTAGGATTATTGATTCTTGGTAATAAATCCCTGAAATCTAATGACTGTTACCATATTTATGAATAATTAAGGAAACAGTTTTTGCTAATTCAATGTGATTTTATTTAAACTAATCCTCTGAGGTTAAATACATATCGATTGATGGAACTTGATTTAAGTATAGATTGAAAATATAGATAATAGTCCTGTTTAAATTATTCAATTTTTTTTTTTATGAACCACATACCGGTATATACATGTATGCACATTATTACAGCTAGCTAGATTATTAAATTAACATATCTGTTTTGGGAAATTATGGGAAAATCAAAATAGTCTAAATTCTCACAAATAAAAGAATTGAAAAACAATTGATATTTTCATTATATTTTTATTATATGTATATAAAAATGTGAACAGACATGAAGAGTATTTCAGAAAGTAGTTAATTTAAATATCAACGTTACCTAACTACAAATTAACGATAGAACTACAGATATGATAACTACATGTAGGTTTGGCTATAAATACTTTATAAAACAATCACTGATCATTAGTCCATGGCTGGCGATACTATTCAGGACTGCGGAAGTTGCTGGCATTTAATAACGTCAATTAACTGGTTCATGTAGTACATCGATTTACAAAATGATATTTTCTGTCGTAGTCTCATTGAAAAGATGCCAAGACAAAGCATAATCGAGATATTCAGTGTAATTTCAATAATGCAGTTCTAAGAAACGAATTTAAAGCTTATGAAGAAATCTGCCCGAATTCCATATAATCATGGGTAAATGCTTCTATTGCTTCCAGCCATCACTAAATTGTTGTTTTCTGAAATAAAAAGAACTTAATGGTATTATATAGATGCGGTATTATCCAAGCTGGATAAAAAAATAAATAATTAATCTTTTACCCTATGTTTCATATAAGATAAAAAGGTATTCCAGCACAGTGTCATGGTTGAGACGTAAACGCTCCTGAATCTCGCCGGGATAAAATGGAAATTAATATACTGAGCTGGAGGCCACACACAGCAATCTACCTACAAACATTGGAGGCAAAATATACATCAAAGAATTTAATCAGAACAGATAGGATTTGAAAAAAAAATATAGGCAAAAGTTTTTAATAATTTTAGAAAGAAAGTAACTTCTTTTTTATAACCATTAGAGTAAAACTTCAGTATCACTGCAAATTAAAGGCTTAATAATGGGAACAATACTGGATATTTTATGGGTGTATTCTGCTGAGATTTTTTTTTTTTCAATTTTGGCCCTATAATTGGATGTATTCATTTTTTGAAACAAAATATGAAAGAGAAAAATGTGAGTTAGTAAGCTTTTCTTCTTGCTTTCTTTTTCTTTTTTCTTTAAACTTTGAAAGTATGCCGGAAACCAGACTTCTTGGGATTTTTCATAGACAATGAATGAAAAAAATTCTTTCTTTCAAAATTTATGATCTAGAATTAAACGTATCCTCACTATCAAAACTACAAAGAATCAAAATGTGAATAGATAATAGGGGGATAGAAGGCCAAAAATATTATGTTTATTTTGATGGATAAAACCGGAGGAGTTCCGTAAAAATGACTGACATCTCAGCATAATCAACAGCTATATAGAGTACATCCTTGAGACTATTGTAGTACAATATATTTTGATCTATCATGTATGTTGAAATTTCTTACCGAGTATACTGCTATAAAGTTACTCTTAATTTCATTCAGAGCACCGGTAATTCCCCTTCCTTCAAGTAGACCCATTCCTGAAAAAGTACTCTTTGACTTTATAATATGATCTGTGTCTTTGTGTATATTTCGATGGAGAAAAATACTTGGCAGATTTCTTATATTGCCAGGTACTTGTAAACTTCGAAAAAGAAAAGAAAGGTAAAGAAAAGAAATGAAAAGAAAAGAAAAAGAAGTGTTTAAGACAAGAAACAACTAGGTGTGTTTGTTAAACACTGATGCCTCCGTATGGCAATTTATAGCAAAGGTTAAACTTTCTCAAAAGCAAATCAAATAGTTGGCACCCAAAGTAAGGTCTTTTGTCGAGGAATATACCTGTGAAATATTAGAGCCCTAGCAGTAACCATTGAATAGATATAGAAAAGGTTTAAGTTTTTTTCAAAAGTAAGTCAAACATCCAGGTCAAAGTCAAATGGTCAAAAATAATGGTGCCTAAGGAAAGGCCTTCTCACAAGAAATATACTGGTGAAATATGAAAGCTGAAGCACCAATCGTTCAAAAGTTATGACCAAGGTTTAGGTTTGTCAAAAGAAGGTCAAACTCCAGGGTCAAGGTCAATGGATTACAATTGTTGGTATCGAAAGGAAGGTCTTGTCAAAAGGATTATATATGTGAAGTATGAAAGCCCAAGCACCAATGGTTCAATTGATATGGCCAAGGTTAAATTTTTCAAAAGAAGGTCAAACTCCAAGGTCAAGGTGAAAGGGTCAAAGTTGTTGGTATCCAAAGGAAGGTCTTGTCACAAGGATTTCATTTGTGAAGTATGAAAGCCCTACCATCAACCGTTCAAAAGTTATGGCCAAGGTTAAAGCTTTTCAAAAGTAGGTCAAACTCCAAGGTCAAAGGTCAAAGTTGTTGGTATCCAAAGGGAGGTCTTGTCACAAGGATAACATATGTGAAGTATGAAAGCCCTAGCTAAAACGGTTCAAAAGTTATGGCCAAGGTCAAAGTTTTTCAAAAGTAGGTCAATCTCCAAGGTCAAAGGGTCAAAGTTGTTGGTATTCAAAGGAAGGTCTTGTCACAAGGATTACATATGTGAAGAATGAAAGCCTTAGCACCAAACGTGCAAAAGTTATGGCCAATGTTAAAGTTTTTCAAAAGTAGGTCAAACTCCAAGGTCAAGGTCAAAGGGTCAAAGTTGTTGATATCCAAAGAAAGGTCTTGTCACAAGAATTACACAAGTGAAGTATGAAAGCCCTAGCACCAATTGTTCAAAAGTTATGACCAAGGTTAAAGTTGGGTAAAATTTTGCAAAACTGGGTAAAACTCTAAGGTCAAGGTCAAATATGGTGGTATCCAAAGAAAGGTCTTGTCACAAGGAATAGACATGTGAAATATGAAAGCCATAGCTCCAATCAATCAAAAGTTATGGGCAATATTAAAGTTTTTGTGGACAAACAGACAGACAGACAGACGGACAGGGCAAAAACTATATACTCCCAAATCTTCGATATGGGGCATAAAAAAAGAAGAAAAAAACGACACTTAAAAAAACAAGACGTGTTCGTAAAACAGCTTATGGCGAAGGTTAAAGTTTCTCAAATGCAAGTCAAAATCTAGGCCAAAAGATAAAAAATGTTGGTACCCAAAGAAAGGTCTTGTCTCGAGGAATATACCTGTGAAATTTGAAAGCCCTAGCTCCAATTGTTCAAAAGTTATGGCAAAGGTTAAAGTTTTTTAAAAGTAAGTAAAACGTCAAGGTCAAGGTCAAAGTGGTTGGTATCCAAAGGAAGGTCTTGTCACAAGAATTACATATGTGAAGTATTAAAGCTCTAGCACCAACCAATCAAAAGTTATGGCCAAGGTTAAAGTTTTGCAAAAGTAGGTCAAACTCTTAGGCCAAGGTCAAAGGGTCAAAGTGGTTGGTATCCAAAGGAAGGTCTTGTCACAAGGATTACATATGTGAAGTATGAAAGCCCTAGCACCAACCGTTCAAAAGTTATGGCCAAGGTTAATATTTTTCAAAAGAAGGTCAAACTCCAAGGTTAAAGGGTCAAAGTGGTTGGTATCCAAAGGAAGGCATTGTCACAAGAATTACATATGTGAAGTAATAAAGCTCTAGCACCAACCAATCAAAAGTTATGGCCAAGGTTAAAGTTTTGCGAAAGTAGGCCAAACTCTTAGGCCAAGGTCAAAGGGTCAAAGTGGTTGGTATCCAAAGGAAGGTATTGTCACAAGGATTACATATGTGAAGTATGAAAGTCCTAGCACCAACCGTTCAAAAGTTATGGCCAAGGTTAATGTTTTTCAAAAGTAGGTCAAACTCCAAGGTCAAAGGGTCAAAGTGGTTGGTATCCAAAGAAAGGCAATGTCACAAGGATTACATTTTTGAAGTATGAATGCCCTAGCACCAACCTTTCAAAAGATATGGCCAAGGTTAAAGTTTTTCAAAAGTAGTCAAACTCCTTGGTCAAGGTCAAAGGGTCAAAGTGGTTGGTATCCAAAGGAAGGTCTTGTCACAAGGAATATACATGTGAAGTTTGAAACCCCAAGCACAAACTGTTCAAAAGTTATGGCCAAGGTTAAAGGTTTTCAAAAGTAGGTCAAACTCCAAGGTCAAGGTCAAAATATCAAAGTTGTTTGTATCCAAAAGGAAGGTCTTTTCACAAAGAATACACATGTGACGTTTGAAACCCCAAGCACCAACTGTTCAAAAGTTAGGGCCAAGGTTAAGGTTTTACCAAAGGTCAACATGCCCAAAAATTTATTTTTACAACAGCTCCAAAACTATGTGAGGTATAAAACTTTTACAGTTTATAAATATATCATTGATTAACAGGTAGAAAGTATCACTTGATAACAAATACTTAAAGAAAATATTTAACGAGAAAAATTCTTTTTAAAAAATGCATATATTTAAAAAAAAAATACACCTAATTAATTCCGTACTTTTAGTGAAAGCCTTCAGAAACAATATATGTTTATCAATGAAAGGCAAGTTGGACTTCGATAGTCTCTGGAAAGTTGTTTTCCCTGTTTATTTTGTCCAAATATTAAGATTTGAAACCGAAAGTACATTGCAAATGGCGGATTTTATAGGGTACTTGTCTTTATACATGTACATGTCATGCTTTCAATAATAGCCTTTCAGAGACCATTCACGTCCAACTTGCCCTTCATTGATAAACAATAAACATATATTATTTCTTCAATTATGGTTTTCACTAAAAGTACAGAATTAAGCAGGTGCATTTTTTTTTAAAATATGCAAATTTCTTGAAATTGTTTTTTCTCAAAAAATATATTTTTTAAATATTTGTTTTTCAGTGATACTTTCTATCTGTTAATCAATGATATATTTATAAACTGTAAAAGTTTAAACTTTATACCTCACATAGTTTTGGAGATGTTGTAAAAATAATTTTTTGGGCATGTTGACCTTTGGTAAAACCTTAAATTCTCATAAAATTTTGCAAAAAAAAAAAAATAATAATAATAAAATAAAAAAATAAATAAAAATCGTCAAGGTCAAAAGGTCAAATATGATAGTAACCAAAGAAAGGTCTAGTCACAAAGAATACACATGTGAAATATGAAAGTCATAGCTCCAACCAATCAAATTTTTATGGGCAAGGTTAAAGTTTTTGCGGACAAACAGACGGACGGACAGGGCAAAAACTATATACCCCCGAATCTTCGATACGGGGGCATTATAAAACAAACTTGAAAGCAGTTAATGCGTTGCAACTTAAATAGAATCAATACAGTGCGTGAGCATAAGAACAACTCCATTGACAGAAATTCATTCAGGTATGAATACGATTGAAAACAGGTTTCACGCAAACGAAGGAGTGGTCTTCCACTATGTTTCATCTGTACGTTGAAATGGTGACAAGTGATATTGCATTTCGAGATTACGATTACCCAGTCCCTGTTTGATATCTGAAAGTCTTCAACATAAGTTTGAATTCATACTAACGAGCAATTCAAGAAAGATGACTCGGTCATGACTTTCTGACAAACAGCTAGGCGGATAGACAAACAATCATGCCTTATCCGTTATGTCCCGAGCTCCTTCTGTGTGTGTGTGTGTGGGGGGGGGGGGTCATGATTACTGGACACGTCTCTTTAAATATAATACATGATATACATTGTCACCAAATGAGATCCAAAGTTATATATTTCATTGCATACAAGATTAAATTTTCAGGATCTTTTGTATTCATGTGCCAAATTACCTTTATGAAATCTTCGGGGAAATGAATGACCCGACTTCTAAAGAATTGTGAAATGTGATTATAGACAGTTCAAAAAAAAAAAAATCTCCCAGATGGAAAAAAACAATCGAATAATTTTGAGCTAATTAACAGGGTGTCCACATACATCTTATTTTTATCCATGAATATATATATATATATATTTTGCTTACTTACCACCGAAAAATAGACAGGTGATAATAGGAGTGAAAATAATTTGATCCACGCCTATTTTTTTAAGCACAACTTTTGGTCCGGATCCAAGAACCAGCTTGTCAGCAAATTTGGTGTACCACAGGTGACCAAATGGACCAATCATCAACCCCATCAGGAACATTCTACCTTACAATAAAAAGACAACAGCTAATAGAGAACCCTCGTTGCACAGCAGATAAAGTGCAAATACAAATGTGAAGTAATTTTGATATTTTGAAAAAAAATCTTTTGATAACATGCAAGAGAATATTGACTCAATGAAATAGTTACTTTATACCGGTATACTATATAATTATTACTGTTTTCTGAGGACAGTACGATAATTTAGCACAATATTCTCCTCGAAAGGCGAGGTGAATATTGTACTTCAAGGGTGGCAAATAGGGCTGTATCAATATATCCATTAATTGATACGTATCGATATTTAAGAATGTATCGTATCGAAAAAATAACTTCCAATACGTACATGTATCGGGCAGGCAGATTTTCTTATAATTCTGTGAAAAAGTTGGGAATTTCAATCACCAAAGGTTATGTTTTTCACCGTTTGAATTAAAATTGATCAATAATGATAAAATCATTAAGGAGATAGCACATCTTAGATAAAATTTACAAAATACATAGATAACTTTATTTAACATGTTGTTTTCACAGTCATTAAAAGTTTGAAGTGTAATTTGTTATGACAGTGAGACAAGAACTTCGAAATCGGTTATAAAACAATTAGTTTTTATAAAATTCATGCATTAAATGAATTATAAGACTTTTTTGATAGACTTGTTAAAGAATCCAGGTCAAAGAGTCAAAGTTTTTGGTATGCAAAGGAAGGTCTAGCCACAAGGATTACACATGTGAAGTATGAAAGCCCTAGCATTAACCGTTCAAAAGTGATAGCCAATGTCAAAGTTTTTTCAAAAGTAGGTCAAACTCCAAGGTCAAAGGGTCAAAGTTGTTGGTATGCAAAGGAAGGTCTTGTCACAAGGATAAGACATGTGAAGTATGAAAGCCGTAGCACCAACCGTTCAAATGAAATGTCCAAGGTTAAAGTAGGGTAAAATTTTGTAAAACTGGGTCAAACTGCAAGGTCAAGGTCAAATGTGATTGTACCCAAAGAAAGGTCTTGTCACAAGGAATAGACATATGAAATATGAAAGCCATAGCTCCAACCAATCAAAAGTTATGAGCAATGTTAAAGTTTTTGCGGACAAACAGACGGACGGACAGATCAAAAACTATATACCCTCAAATCTTCGATACGGGGGCATAAAAATATTATCGTTAGTAATATTTCTTTGAGTACGTGAACACCTACCTGTTCGATATATATCAAAATATGTCCCCGTAACGCCTGTTCTGGATGCATATTCGATCTCTAGGTTTTGTGTTATGACGTCACCTAGTCCAAGTAATGTTCCACTGGTCACAGTATTAGTTATAATTAGGTACCTAGAAAACAGTTGTTTAAAGAGAGAGGACATCGTTGTTTTTGAGTCAACATCATGGTCGGTTCTCAAGAGGTCCAGCTCTGCTTATCATTCTGAACTTATCAGGAATTAAAGACGTGGAATGTACTTGTTATCGCGTTTCAGCTATCTTTTGATGAGAAATGTGAATAAATTGATATTGCTAAATACTAGTATATAATGAGAAATTATGTTGCAATTGAAAATCACATTAGTATGTAAAAGGAATTCCCATGAACCATGGTTTAATTTTAAAACTCAGATAATCTTCGTTTTGAATATTACTTGGATTCTGCATTTGACTGCATCTTGCAAAAATTCAAATGAGTAAAGAGGCAAACATAAAATAAATAAAATGATTGTTTCTAAAGCTGCCAAATGCCGGCTTACAAGTGGTCCTATAATTTATAACTCAGAAACAAAATGTGTTTGTGAAACACTGATGCCCCAGTGGAAAAATTATGGCCAAGATTAAAGTTTTTCAAAAGTAGGTAAAACCCCTAGGTCAAGGTCAAAGGGTCAAAGTTGTTGGATCCAAAGGAAGGTCTTGTAACAAGGATTGCACATGCCCTAGCACAAGCTGTTTAAAAGTTATGGCCAAGGTTAAAGTTTGGTAAAATTTGCAAAACTGGGTTTAACTCCAATGTCAAAAGTTAAATATGATGTATCCACCGCCTAAATATGTTTATGTTTATACATGAAATCAGTATAATTCTTATTTGTGCTCATTCGCCTTCGTCATTTTCATCGATAGTTTGGGGTTTTGCTGACAAACAATGAAGTAACGTACGGTAGCTTGCCTGTCCCGACCTCCATCTTTGCTAATTTTTTCGGTAGTAAACGAACAGAAAAAACATTACCGTTAAGAATTAAACTCATTTTTTTTAATTCCACTGTCAATAGTACGGTAATATCTAGTCGGAAGGTGCAGTGTTACAGAAAAGCTATTTGATCTTGTAGTCCGAGACCTTGTTAAGGGTGGTGAGTTGACCCAAGACATCGTCGGATACTCCCGGGGGTGGGTGGGGGCAATGACGAAGACATTTAAGCCAGAATAAGGAAAGGAAGACAGGCTTTTGTAATGCTTAGACCAGTATGGAAACCAGTTGCATTACAAGAGAACACCAAATTCAGAATATTTAACACCAAGTGAATTCCATCCTTTATTATCAGAAACCTGGAGATTTACAAAGAGCCTACAATATAAAATCCAGGTTTTCATCAACCAGTGCCTATAATAGATTTACCAAATATGGTGGCAAAGAACCATAAACAATAGGACACTCTGGATACTAATCAACCAAGATCCAGCACTGGCAAAGGATAGTCACACTCTAAGAAAACCTGTCAATACCATCACCAGTCAGTCTCTAGAGCGGAATCCTCAGGGAATCAGAAAAGAGATCGTCCATTACACAGCTGGGGGAGAACAAGGGTAATAGGATTAGAACTGGGAACACGCTGGAATGAGCCAAAGAAAAAAGTAAAAACAGGGTCAGGTGGAGGAAAACTGTGACAGCCTTATGTTCCTGAAGGAAGGATGTCGATTAAGACAAAGTAAGTTAAGGGTATGCTTCACTTCATAAACTGAGCTTACTCGGACGAAACCCTGTACAATAAACAAACAACAACAACCAAAAAAAAAAAAACAAAAACAAAAACCATGAACATAAGCACCTTTATAGTATGTGTGTGGTTTCAGAATTTTCTCCGACTGAGTTAACATTGTGAAACAGGAGCATTTAGTTAGCAGTGCTATGCACTCTCTGGGTGCCTTTTAGTTTGCACCATTCAAAAAATGTTACTGAATTAAACAAAGATTTGGCAACTGATGACAGTAACCGTGAAACTGGAAACCAAAACAATGACTACCTCGGAAAGAAAAGCCCATTCTAATTAAATGCCACCATACTTATTTCTTCTTCAATAGTAATAAAAAGGACTTATAACCTGCAGACCTTTAAATTCTTTTTAGTAATATTCTCCACAGGTTTGCCTGTTTCGAGTTCTATACCCTAGGACGGCTCTGATAACAATGACCAGCGATCCATTACAAGAAGACGATAAAGAAGGTTTGTTTGATATTCTGTCACGTGATGTGTTACCTGCCTAAACACTATTACCTGCGTCAATCGGTGGAAAAAAAGAAAAATCCAATTTTTATGACCGGTGATTTAAAAATGAATTAAATTATTTGACAAACAAATCAAGCGAAGAGATATACTTTCGCGACTCCAAAGGACTCACCGTAGAAGAGGTAAGATTTTATGTTCTATACATCCTACTGTAGAATTACGTTCTTGGCAGGTAAATTAAGTCTTGGGGTACTTGAATCGTTACCAACTACCTGAGTTTATCTCAGAACATGCTTGGATCAACGAAAAAAGAAAACTCAATGAAAGAATGAATTCATTTTAAAAGAATTTTTAGAGTAAATTTGAATTTGGGGCTAAAGAGTACGGTACGCGTTTGTATTTTTGTGATTTATGTAAAACGGGGGTTAAAAGAATAATGCGAACATCATGTTATATCAGAAACGTGTTAAATTGAAGACTGTCCATGCTTTCACAAAGGACTCGTAAAATATGATCAATACACACTAAGTGAACAGTAAAGTAACCCATTAAACGAATCAATACCGGTACATAACTAGTTGCATATATTCCTAAATGGATTAAGGGTTTTTGAATGGCCTTTTTAAATGAACACTGTTGATCTGATTTGGTCACAGAAGAAGACAATAAGATTGTACGATGTACATTCCAAGGACATTAAAGTATAGTGAATTACCGGTATAATTACGTTAGAATAGAATTAGAAATAAAAATGTATGTGTACTTGCTACATGTAAATAATGAATCCCCCCTCCCCCCGTCCCATGCAGATGACATCGAGAGATTCCATATACGTATACACTTATTTAATATTTATGAAGCTTAATTCTAACAGTTATGAAAAATTGATATAAATAATAAAGATATAGCATGAAAATTATTTCGTTTGCTTTCCGGCCTGTCAACCAACAATGTTCTAAAGAGTTAATAAGTTATACAAATTTAGTCCTTAGTACCTAGGGTCTTATGTCCCTATTTCCTTTTGTGAAAAGTTAATCGTTTACTTTAAGGATTTTGATTACGATAGTTTTTCTCTCTCTTATTTAATATATCTACAGAGACATAGAAATTATTCTCAAAATAATTTCTGTTGTATGTCTGTGTAACGCTGAATCACCGCTATCTACTCTGTTGAATTAGACCCGTTTTCTCCTGAGTCATGACTAAAAGATAAAACAAAAAGAGAAGAATCTATTATTTAACAACTTTAGCATGATGGTTATCTTAAAGGACTTTATTGCGCCTTCTTGAATAAAAATGATAGCGATGTGACGATTTCAAAATGTCTTTGAAGATTAAAGCAGCTCGATTGTTTTACTAGTATACCTACAATAATAAAAGACAACCCCCATGCTCTGGCGTTTTTGGACTATTCTTCATTTTATCACTTGATGGATGAAAAATTTAGCGATAATGGATTTAAGTTAGACTGTTACTGTAAAAGATACCACGAATAGCAAAGCTTTCTATGCAAGAAATGTACATGTGTTGTAGTCAGTGAGTGTAAATTAAATGTTCCTAAAACCATTATAATTATATATTATAAGTAAAACAGAATTATCAAGAATCTTCAATTTGAGTATGATTATGGGAACTCGAAAACAGACCCTACAATTTCAACATGCAACCAAAGTATTACCTATTATGGACAAAAGAGCAAAATGTTTTCAAAAATCTCCCCCGCCCCTAAAAATATTCAGTAGTCCTTTTTTTTCGAAATAAATTAACCCATACTAGCTTTTATGAAAAATGAAGTTTTTGAAGAATTAAAGATATGTGTCCTAAGTTATAAGTATTCAGAGCTCGAGTTATACAGTTTCCATGCCTGAGTATGCATACACACTGTGAATTAATAACAGAGGAAATACATAACTTCAAGTATAATGTAACTGTTATACTTCTCTTTTCGAATACTCTAAATATATATATATATATATATATATATATATATATATATATATATATATATATATATATATATATATATATATATATATATATATATATATATATATATATATATATATATATATATATATATATATATATATTACATTTTCAACAGTGAAATACCGTGATTTATTTATTGAATAAAAGTGATATTCTCTCACAGTGTGAAAGGATACCAAAATGATATTCTCTCACAGTGTGAAAGGAAATCAAAGTAAGTAAAAATTAATTTCTGGCCTGTCATAAGATAGAGATATTAACTAAGCATCTTGATAGAGCTAAAGCTGCAAATTTCTTCCCAAAAATGCTGCTAAAATCCTTGCTATGTAATGTTTTCAATCACATAACTGCAGCGCTAAGCTATGACATCTCAACCGCTCAACTAATATGTCAAGCCTATGACAGTGTTAAGAAAAGACAGAGGCAAAGGGAAAATCAAAGAAAATGTAATAAACAGAAAATTCAATGTTTTGTAGATGAATATGGAATTTATTTCACTCGTGAGACAGGATATTTTTTATATTTTCACTCGTGCTTCGCACTCGTGAAAATATCAAAAAATCCTGTCCCACTCGTGAAATAAATTCCATATTCATCTACAAAACATTGAATATCCTCTCTCTCTCTATATATATATATCCTATTTTTTTTCTTTTCTTTGTGTTAAAATTTTGGAAAAGAACTGGGGGGAGGGGAGGCATCGTTTTGATATATTTCTTGCATTTCATAATTTTATACTTGTACATGTATATATATATATATATAGCAACGGTTTATCTATTTGCACGGCTCTTATTTGCACGGTTCTCCTTTGTATTATTCAACTATGAAGTCCTTAACAACAAACCGAAGAAATTAACAAAGTTCATAAATTAAAGCCATAAAATGATAAACGTCGATTTTTTTTACTAGAATGTCATAAAATTATTCGTAATTACCATTTCGAGTTATTTTATGTATTTTTAAGGAGGTCAATGTAAAACCATAAACGTTGACTCTTAAGTGTCTGGTTTCTAGTGTACCTTTGACTTATGTATAATAAAGTATAATTGAGGTTTATTGATGGTGCTGTTTCTACGTAAAAGTTGAATGATGAACAGATAACAAAAATGTTATAAAAATACCAGATCAGATGCCATTAAACCAAAGGTTGTCCAAATATCCAGTTCAATATATCTGAATTTATCAAGTATAGTATTACATTATAAAACATTTTTATTCATGCATCTGCACAATATTCATTCAAATGAGATAAAGATGCACTGTAAATTATTTCTAGACAAATGAAATGTTCTCAGTATTGACAGCAAATTGAATATAGCTATTAAAAGGGCGGGTTTAGAGAAAATGTTCGTGCGTTTGATATAGATGTATACATTATGTAACAACCATAAATAGATCTTTTTGTATCAAAAATCGATTTAAATCTTATATCAGTTTTACTAGATCACTAAGGCATGTGATCGAACATTTATCATGTACACGCTAAAAGCTGTGGCCAAATGTTTCAATTTGCAACAAAGCTTTTCCAAATCAAATTCAATGCATGTATTCATATCAAACAAACGAACATTTTAATCTTGTCTGTTACAGGGAAAAAGTGTCAGTGAAACATCAGTCTTAACTACATTAAATTAAAGTCACAAGAAAACGTTCTAGTAAATTAAAAATCAACTCATGACAAATCACCATTATTCTATTAGGAAATATTTTGAAATCTGACTGGCTGTTTCGCTCTGTTTCAAAGTTTTCATCTATGTACCTCATGCGTAAAAACTAGAGTATTTAGTAGCATAAATTGAGTGAAAACTTGCGAATGTTGAACAAAAATTATGAGAAATGCGACATACTTTGTTGAATTATTTTGACAACCACAAAAACATTACCCGGAAGCTCTTTGGTTGATTGCAAATCGATAGACAATTCGTGTACACAAGATTAACATTTCCAAGTTTATTTAAAGAACAATCGCAGTTATTTAACTTAATCTATTGATAAGGGGCTGTTGTGTCGGGTTGGCAGTAATAGGAAGGTTGCAAAGTGCCAGGAATGTAAAAACAGAAGTGACCTGTTGACGCGAATTTCTTGCTTTGGGAATTGTCTCAGAATCCAGGTATCGTACAAAGGTGTGCAGATATTTTATGAGTTATACAGGAAACAACTTTTATCTTTCTAGAGAGTTATCGGCTTCAAATGAGGTGGGAGTTCTTTTGTGGTTAATTGCTACAATTTTCAAATGAATTTAGAAAATTGTCAAATGAAGTGAGGCTCACTCAGATGACGAATTTTAATGATTTCAACAAGGAAATTTTTTTTCACTGAAAAAAGTCAAGATTAATTTTGAATGAACCCTTTAAAGTTGAACTACATCATGGCACCATCTTTCCGCTGGCTGTTTACTTCAACTTCCAAATCTAATTAAACTTTATCGAAGGGTAGCTTACTTCAGTTTTGTATAGGAACTCAGTCAAAATCCATACTGGGTCAGACCTTATGATTTACAGTGTTGATACCGAGTACTTACTACTTCTATACCCTAACCCCCTAACATAAAGAAAATTTCAGGCCCCGAATGAGAACCTCAGTCATGGAGACATGGTAAGTGCTGGCTTGTAGGTTCCTCATTGCACACTGGCACAAGGCCATAGCAGTTTAGAGATATGCATAATTTTGGCACCTCCTATCTAACTGCATGTCATCTCATAGTACCGTACTTTAACGAGGCATAAAACTAAACAATTGGACGTCTAATATCGTCAGCATCGTAAGTGTGGCCATTGGGTGATTAGTTTCTGTCTCTCATTTGCAGATTTAATAGGGATATCACCATGGTCAGCGTAGAACAGCGAGTTTGCAATAATTGTACAGACAAGATTTTGTTCTTTGTGCAAAATTGTATATCAGACCTGTGTTGAATTACTTAAAAAAATCAATGCATTTATGAATCCAGCAACGCATTATCAAAGTTACGCTACACGCTGAGTAAATATCATATCTATATCACTAAATGTTTTAATATTCGGAGCTAATTAATCAATGCTACCTGGTTCTGCATTATAGACACGGAAAACGGAATAAAAAATCCCCCGTGTGACGACAAAGTATAGCTTTCCTGTGGGGGATGTTATAGTGATCAATATGATTTAATTCTGATAGACAATACGATTCGTAAACCCTTAGAGAGAGTTAATGGTGTACTATTATAACGTTTAGAATACTCCCTCTTCTTGTAGTTGGCGAAAAATAAAAGCATATGACATTGTGGAACTAATTGTCCGAGTTGAATCTATCTGCCTGGACCCTCATCAATAGAAAGCTGCTGATTCAGTTATGGGGGTTTAATAAACTTTATGGAGCTAAACATCTTACGTCTTAAAAACAGAATTTTTGAATAAGCAGTAATGATTTATACGTAAAAAATTGTAATGTGTATTCTTTCGAAATTTTTGAAGCGTTGCAAAATTTTAATTAAAAACAATTATAAAAATCGTCTGCAGGCGGCAAAGTCATTGTCCTAGTACATGTGTTCTCAAACCATTAATGCCCACGTTTAAACATTAAAGTGTTTAAAGTCAAAAAATAATCTGTTTTCAGCAACTGTGTACACTAAATGCTTGGAAGCATAAGAACAATTTTTTGAAATCGTCACGAAGTATTTGAATTTATAATCAAAAGTTTTATTAAATTGCTAGTACAATTGCTTTTCAAACTTGGTGTAACGTATTTACAGTGAAATTATGCGAGTTCGATTACAAAATCCCCCACGTTAGAAATGTATTGTGAGCGTTCAAATTTTAATCTATCTTTCCAAATTATCACATCTGTACGTGTTTGCATAAAACACTTTCAAGTATTGTGAAATAATTGGTAATTGTCAAGAATTTTGAAGATTTGTTCAGAGAATTGCACGACATCTTCTGGTCGATAGATTTATTCAACGAATCATTAGGTTTTGTTGACATTTAGCATTAGATAGTTAAGATAAAAATTCTAGAAAAAATAAAACTATTAAACAACATCAGTATATTTGTGGCTTGTGGCTTCATAACACCAGCAACAACAACAAAATAAGGGATAAATGATAAAGTACTGACCTTGACCTGTGAAATTGACTTCTGAAATAACATGCATTTATTACTCTCATGTTAAAACAAGAAGTGTCTAATTTGTGTTCAAAAGTAAGTTGTGAATTGTGACTGAACAAACAGACTTCTTTTTACATAACATGCTCTGATCTTCTGTTAAGGGGAGTTACTGAGTAGATCAGTTCTTTTTTCGTTACAGATTTGCTGAATATGAAGTGAGAGTCAGCACCACGTGACAGTTGTCATGGGATCGAAACCGTCCACACAACAGGACACGGTGCAGCGCTCATCTTCAGCGCCAAATGTAAAACAATCACTTCAAAACGGGGTCTCCCCGTCAGGCACAGATACACCCTCTAGTTCTCGTAACCCACCCAAATCTGCCGCACCCACTGTGAGTGTTGTACTGTGGCTTTAGTGTAACTAGAGGTAGCTAAAAGTATGAGACAAATAAAAGCATGAAACTTAATGTATCTTGACAAAAGATTTTCAAACTCTATAGCATGTGCATATAAGTAACATATGTGGAATTTTACCATGTCTTTATTAAACTGTTGAAGCATTTAAAAAAAAAAAATAGGAGGTTCTTGGTATATATAAATATATCATGCTGTGAATGAACTTGAATTGTAAATATATATATATATATATATATATATATATATATATATATATATATATATATATATATATATATATATATATATATATATATATAAAGAAAGAAAGAAAGAAACGATTACCTCTAGTTACTCGTGTTTTATGTTGCATCTTTATGATTTATATTGCTTTCAATTTCTTTTATTTGTAGTTTCCTTTTGTTCCACATACTTTTTGTCGCGTCCATTTATGTCGTTTGTGTCATGCACAATGCAATCTGACATTTGAATTTAAGAGATGAATTTAATTTTTGAGAATTCATGAGGACATGAACTACTACGCTTCACGCCGGCATATTTCCAGAAGCGCGTTAGCGCTTCACGATAAATATGCAGACGTGAAGCGCTGTAGTTCATGTACCTCATGAATTCTCAAAAATTAATTCATATCTTATATTTACATTATTTTTCTGATGACTTGCCACATATTTTTGTCATTCAACGATTATTTTTGAAAAAAAAAAAGTTTGCACTATTTTTGGCTTCAATTACATCACAATGGAAAAATTCTTACTCATCCCACGGTAGTTCATGAGAACGTAAACTTTTTCTAATTTGCAAAGAATCAGTTAAGGAAAAATATTTGGAATTGTAAATATACAGCAAATTAATGTTCGCTTTCCCCTGTCTCACATCATTAGACTTTTTTTCATTTAGATCCACGATGCGGAGCGTGACACAGTATCTTCATACAAAAGCTTACATCCTTTACACACTTGGAACGCGGAGCACAAATAGTTGTCTGATATTTAAAAAAAAAATGAAAACCAAACAAGGGAAAAAATATCCTATGTTTTTGTCAATACAATGCACGCTGTTCACAGTACATGTAGTTAAATACCCCGTGCTCCTTTGTTGTATAATCGTTAGAAGCTAGGCATTATATAGAAAGCATGTCTCCAGCCTCTCTGTTTTTGCTTATTTCTTGTTTGTAGATAAATTGATGATTTTAAAGCTAGATCTGTAACTTTTTTTACTTTAACATTCCCTAGCTTTAGTGGGTTACGTGGTTGTAATTATTCTTGCTTTATGTTCTTAGTTCCAGGCAACAAAAGATATTTTTATTTAAATTTTGCCTTCAATACAGTCAATCAGTTCTTGTATTAAATCTTTATTTTCTTAAGATATATGATTATAAAAGTTGTTAATAAGGCAAAACGGAAGCCGATGAAAATTTTCGAGATGCCAGCAATGCGTTGGTCTGTCTCCAATCGGCAGCGCCTTTTCGGTTCCTTCTTTGCGTTTTTTCCAGATAAGACGCAAAGTACATTTTGATCAAAGTCTTTTGTATATATCATTTATTTCTCTGGTCATTTCCTTGGAAGTTACTGGAAATTTTATTTCCTTCCCCATTTCTTTCCATTTTTAACTCACCTCGACTTTTATGTCGGCATGCGAGGCTAGAAAGTTTTGAGCAGATCAAGTTTCAACTCACTGTGACCCCCTTGTGCTGAACGTTGCATGTATGATGTATACACTACACAAAATTGCTAACGCACCACCAAAATAAATTAATATTTTTTTTCTTTTCAAAATTTGTTTATGATGTTTTTGATATATAATTATGTTACTTTAATAAAAAATGAAGCATTTCAATTCTTAAATGATGAATAACAACAATGTTTACTGAAGTGTAACCATTTCATAAAAAAAAAAAAATTAAAAATCGTGTCCATACTTTTTTGGAGGAAAAAAATTCTATTTTTTCTTTGTGGTTGTGTTCCTTATGTTTGTACTAATTAAAAACTCGGCAAAAAAGTTACACCGTATGCGGCGTTTGACCCTAGAAGAGCGTAATAAGGCAGTCAGAACAACTAAAAGATTATTCATTCCTCTAATGAAAAAGTGATGCAAATGAATTAACAATCATAAAAATGTTTACTATAGACATCGACGGCATTAAGTAAGCACCACACAATAAATTCAAGATTGTTCCACAAAACTGGGGCAACCGGAAGTTGGGTGGATTTGGTAAGGACGCCAAGACACTGGATGACTACTAAGTAATATGGTAGTCAATCAGGGTATATTATTTGATTTTTAAGTGGGAGACTGCTCCTGTTGCAACCTCACAGACCACCTTCGGTAATCACCATATCTTCATATCTTGGCAAAAATGGTGCGCAGTGCACGTGGGGAAATTGGTTTTCGGGCAAGAAGGTCCTTTAAGGGTCTTGTCATGACACCAAGACATTTGTCAATCCAACTGTTTTGAAAAAAAGATTGCATATTTTATATACTAGTACCGATCAGGCAAAAGATCAATTCACAAATAAGAATAAGAAGTGGTGCGTTAGCAATTTTGTCCAGTGTAGAGGGATGTATTCAACTAGATAATCTAGTGAATGGCCTGGCTAGAATTTTTGGAGCAGATGCATTCCTAAGTACCGGGGTAACCAAATGCAAAAGTGTACAATTAAGAAACAATTGCATTCTAAACGGCACTTTTGATGCAAATGTGCTCCATGTAAAAGTGTACATTGGCACATTTGCATCAAAAGTACCGTTTAGAATGCAATTGTTTCTTAATTGTTCAAATGTTGCGTCTGACCAAGTTTCTAAAGAGTGGCTTATATTTACGGAGGTAGTTCAGCACTTAATAGATAAAATCTAATTGACTACTTAATGTACTTATATGCATAGAACATATAGGGAAACGATTTAGCTTTAGATACTTTATTTTGTAGGTGTTTAATTAAAATAATATAATGCTGAACGTATGGCTAAATTAATACATGTACGTAAAATTGACCATTCCTTAAATACAAGATACTGTACCTTAATTAAAAATGAAATTTGTCAAATCGAACTTTATAATCTTTGGTTCCTATTTAACAATTTTCATTTTATGTCTGTAATTGGTTTAATACGGTTTTTAAATGACCTTTAAATAAACTGCATGCATTCTAGATAAAGTAAAATATGATCAATAAGCCTTATTTAGGATTACAAATATTTGCCGATAGTGCGAGCGTATGTAAAAGAATATATCCAGTTAATATGTTCCAATGACCCTCATTTCCACTGACCTAACAAAACCTGTATATTTATGTGCCAATGTTCCTTTGGATTCTTACATACTAATCAATATTTGCATGGTTAAATGAAGAAAATAAATATTATATAGAAAAGCTAAGCATATTTTATGAAATATATTATCAAAGAATTAATTAAAACCGATTGTAGTCTATGTCATATTTAAATCGATTATTAAATATGTGTTATTATAGTGATATCGATCGGAACATCTGATTGACCTTATATATGTAGCTGAGAGCAAGATAACACTATTTCTTATATCAATATGAAATGTTCTGGTTTCCAGGAGCAAACTGCGGTAGTAGTTATTGAACATTACAGATTAAAAGTATTTCTAAAAGAACAGCTTTTGGTCTAAGTGTAATCCTCAATATCATATTCCCTTTCATTTTGGTAGGGGGTCCTTACAGGGTTTCACAGCATATGACCTTGTCTTTAAAACTGGTTACAAGTATGGCATAAAGATTACACAGCAACTGAAACCACAGATATTAAAAAAGAAGTGTTTCGGATATATAGATATGTATAATGATTGCTAGTATTATGAATAGCAAGAAGTGTACATTTAAATTGAATTATTTGAACCTTTCAGAGTGGAAAAGATGAAATAAGAAGCATTTCACAAGAAACAGATGATGAGGAGGTTGTAAAAAGAGCGTGTTTTATTTTAGGTTGAGGGCGTGCAGCACAAGTAGAAATGCTTCGTTCAACTTTCTTTGAATTTGTAAATTCATGGAAAGTTCAAAGTTGTTCGTTGCATTAACTTTGACCTTTTACACATGGTGATTTTGTGTACCTTTTAGTATATTCTGATATGCACATTTCCTCTTATTTTTACCACATCTTTCATAAGCCTGGTTTTGGTATGTCCCTTTTCTTATACATTTAAATGGTACTGTACATGTATTATTGTTGCGTGAAAGTTGATCTGAAGTTTAAACAGTTAAATGGAATCAAAACAAGAAAGTGGAATTCATTGTTATCTTCGAGTGAAATTTTAAACGAGAGAAATCCATTGTATGATTTTTCTTGGGGTCATGGATTTCGTCACTAGCACATTCTCTTGGAATTGCTGTATAGCAAATGGTAATGGCGTGTTTCAAAGCAAATTTGGACTAGCTTGAGGAAAGGTTTACGGAAGCGCTTGTGTATACGTTAACTATATAGATTTTTCTTTTGTGTTAAATCAGAACCGGCCGTTTTTTTCTTTTTTCATACCACATATAATATCAATAAGTTCCCATTGATTTTAGCATCAAAATGATTGTCATCCGATAAAATCTGTGCATTTCAACATAAGCTACTGTTAGGATAATGTCGGGAAGAACCGAAAAACCCATTAAGTCCAAGGTATGGCTATTTTACTGAATCAGATTATTTATTTTTTAATTTAAATTCGATTCCTTCATCATTTACGTAAATGTACTGATAACTGGACTTGACCACTGCCAAAGTATTGGATGTTGAAGGTGGTTAATTCTACCAAAAATTGTGACATTTGTTTGAAGGCCCATTTTCTTTAAAGGAAAATGGAATAGCCTTATATCTCTCTATCAAGAGTTCAATGTCAAAGTATAATATATTAACCTCTTCAGAAAATGCTATTGCCAATGAAGTTTAACATAGATACGTCTTGATGCGAGCATTTCAATCGTTTATATTATTGCATTTTTGACAGTCTTGTGACGAACATTGTTCTCAAATACAGGTATATAGTCTTGAATACTATGGATGACTTTTTACCTTAACCATTTCATGGACAGATACGTCTAGGTACTTTCATTTCAACAGCGTCAAAATTGTTTTAGCCTAAATGATATGGATCTTATGTTTTGCCCATTTTCTTGCTGAGCATTTCAGGATTTTTATGCCCCATGAAGAATACGACTTGGGCTTATAGTGTTTGTCATGTCCATCTTCTGCCCTCCCGTTCCTCTCTCCTTACGTTTGACTCAGTTTCAAAGAAACTGTTCAAGAGATTTTAATCAAACTTCAATTCATACTAAGATTAATATTAATAAGATCAATTCAAATGTGCCATAATTTCCGGACCTTGTCCTTCCTGTGACCTTGACCTTACTATTCCTTATTTGGCGTTCAGCTCGGTTTCAAAGAAACTGTTTCATGTTATTTCATCGAACTTTATACACTGATACAGATTGTTTAGAGCATTCCAAAGATCTTATAATTTTCTTTCCCAAGCCTTTCCTTTAACTTTGACCAAACTGTTTTCAGTTTACCTTATCTTTAGAGAAAAAAATGTTCAAAGTCATCGAATTACATTCATGCAGGGATGTCGGCAGTCCCGTTTGGGGTGGACATTTTGCGGGTTCTGTGGTTCCTTCTTTTTTCATATGTTACTATTAGCTCTGTCTGAAGAAACAAGGTACATTTACTTATCTTCTTTCTTGCATATCAGTAAATGTACATTGACTTTTGTTGAATGCCATACTAAAATAAAACCTCCTTATGAGTGCCTCGGGGTATTTCCTGATGTGAAAGCTTAAGTTTAGTAATGTATAATTCCGTATAACCCTGATATTTTTTATAAGATAAAATCATTAAATGTGCTTGTAACCCGTGAGACTCACTGAGGAAAACACCGGTATCTACCAGACCATGTTCTGAATCAATATTGATAAATATTGATATCAAATATTGGACAAAAAGCTACAGATTCTTCAAAGGTTAAATTACATTTGAAAGGGTCGCCATCAAATGAAAACGTTTAATGGTATAATGGATTACGTAGGGAGATTCAAAAAGTAAACTTTTTTGTATGAATACATCGTGTTCGATTTCCTCTCAGCAGCAGAACTTTAATGAAAAAAATCTGCCGTTGTTTACATTTAGGTATTAAAAATTTATAAACAGATCGTAATTACCACCCTACTCTTCTTTCGAGACATCATCAGCTGATCAACCATTCTGTAAATCTTTTTAATAGCAATATCAATTTGGTGTAATCACATTTTCCAATTTCAACCCTATAATGCATACATGTAAAATATTTATTTATTTTACTGTGTTTCAGTTCAGAGAATTGACGTATGCAGACAAATGTCTTATCTTGTATTTATTTAATATTTTAATCTTTAATTTATAGCCTTTACTTTTTTACAATGTAACTTTAGCCAAAGAAAATATTTATGAAACGACTCGGTATCAATATTTTGATTGATTTCTTTATAGCTCTAGTTTTTAGACCAGAAGAGTTCATGCATTGGTAATCAGTTCGTCGACCATTCACCTTTTCTTCCGTCTACCTGTTTGAAAACAAATTTTCTAGAAGCTAGATTTTTTATCCAAGATTTAAATAAAACATGGTACACAATCATACAAAATACATCAAGGTACATAAGTCTCTGTGTGTATTAATTTCGAACAAAAAAGTTTTGCCTAGTACATGTGTACTTGAGACAGAATAATCAGTGAAATCATGTCAAAATAATACCCCCTCCCCCCCCGTTATGGTATGATTTTTAGTAACCATTCAACACAAGGAGACTACATCAAGATACTCCGTACATAAATCTGTATCTATATGATTATCCCCCTAAGAAACATTGTAAATACCGCTGGGTCCCCAGAGGTCTTGGTATCATGGTGAAAAGAACTTCAGGTGTTTAAAAAATCTCATAACGATAAATTTGTGCGATATTTTAGGGGAGAAAACCACCACCCTATCACAGCAGGCAGATCCCCCCGCCCAAACCGCCGAAGACCTTGAAGGATGATATCTTCAGTTTGGAGAAGTACAAGTTTGTCGATGATTATGTCCTCAATGTAAGTGCTTGTCTTTATTTAGGGTTTGGTTTTTGAGATAGCTAGGATTTTTTTAAGAATTCAATTTATAAAATACATCATATCTTGATTTTTTTATCAGGCATTAAGAATGATCACTTTTAATGATAAAAGGAATTATAACTATTTTGGTTGTAGTTATTTTGCTTATGAAACATCACAAAGAGTGTAACATATCGCGGATTCCAATCCACTACCACCACACCACTTCTGTTACCATTTTAGAAACGTTAAAGATGACATTTTACATGTCTACAGTGCACGATTCAATCCGCATTGAATGTTCCAGGCTTATCCCCTCTTACGTTTATCGTTCGTCCCTCCATGGATTAATAATTTGCACTATATCATTCATACCCATCCCAAGCTCATTTTTTTTTCATTTTTCAGGCTCCTCCTAGGCTCCTTATGGGGTCATTTAAGGAACTCATCCGATACTTGACGGCGGAGGAAGACTGGGATGATGTTGCCAAGGCGCGCGCCATTTTCCGATGGGTGACAGCCATTGATGTGTACAGTCTCAAGGTGGACAGCGACCCTCCCACGCATTCACCCCTTGAGTACTTCACCAAAATCCAAAAGAATCAAGGAAATCATGCTCACCTGGTGTCAGGATTGTGTCAGTAAGTGATATATTTGCCTCTGTAATATTCCGCATAAATATTTTTTGAAGAAAAAAACTTTCTAGATTATTACTAGTATGTCAACTATTAAAAAAACATTTTGAATGTGATTTTACCCGATTTCGCCAACCTACATGTAAGTCTAACATTGTCTGGAATTGTTTTTGTAGAATGGCAGGTTTACCTTGTGTCATAGTAAGTGGTATGAACAAAAGTGCTGCCTATGAAATTGGCAGTAAATGTGAAAGGAAGAATATGGGTGCACAATGGAATGCCGTGTATATCAAAGACGACTGGAGATTCATGGATGCATTTTGGGCCTCAGCCTGTGTTGTTGGGAAGAAGTCGAGTGAGTGGACACTTGTTGACAATGACGGTAACGTTACACAAGAAGACGAGGAGGAATCGGAAGGGGAGACACAGCATCGTGTAAATGAATTCTATTTTCTGCCCAATCCCGACCAGTTAATATGGACACATTTCCCTGATGAGCAAGACTGGCAACTGTTAGAAAAGCCAGTTACAGTCAAAGATTACGAAGGTCACGTGTATGTAAGGGAGAGGTTCTACTATCTGGGAATTAACTTTACACCAAAGAGTGAAACTAAATGTGTACTTACGGCAAAAGATGGAGAAATATCTCTTCCTTTCTCGTTGCCTGCAGATCGAAGTGAATTCTACAGGTTCAAATACATGCTTTATAAGAATAAGTCTGCTGGCGGGAATCAAGCAGATGTCAATCTAGATCGGTTTGTGCTGTTTGAGCACACAGCAGAAAGTCTTCGATTTGCATTAAGATTTCCTCTACAAGGAAAATTCAAAATGGATATTTTTGGGCTAGACGTGCGTGAGTCGGATATCTTTGATTTGACCTGCACATATCTCATTAATTGTCCAGAAGCACAGAAGAATTGCCTTCCATTGCCAGACTGCCCGCCTATTGGTTGGGGTTTTGGTGGTGACGCCAAAAATGCAGGATTGGAAGCAAAATCTCACGATGGTGCGATCATCATCACAAAGGACGGAAAAGTTGAAATCAAACTGGGTGCACATAAAGACATTCGTCTGCATCAACTTTTGAAGAATACAATAGTTGATGAAGCCACTCTTAGTAAGTATGCAGTGATAAGAGAAGAGAATGGAGAATTCATTGTAGACCTAAGATTACCACAAGGAGGAGAATACGCATTGAAATTATATGCAAACGAAGAAGGGGAAGACGGAGAAGCTGGCAATGTCTTGAATTATCTCATCAAATGCAACGAGAAAAACCTGTCCAACAAGCCATTCCCGAACATTACTGATGGTTTCATAGGCAAAAAATCAATCGCTGATGCTTTGGGTGTAAAAGCTTTATCCCATAAGGATAGCAAACTTCATTCAAAGGACGGAAAATTAAAGCTGGAGTTTCAGGCTAAAAACAACATGGAACTTGTCTGTGAGCTTCACAGCAACGATCCCAATGCCACAAAGCATATGAAAGTTTATCCCAAGGAAGTCAACGGCAAGTGGGTATTTGATATAGATATGCCCATAGAAGGGGAGTACTCGGTGAATATCTTCGCCAAAAAGAAAGGCGATGACAACAAGAGAATTTATAATGTACATTCCTACATGGTTCAATCAGATGGTCATGCTCTAGAAAATGGCGAGGATAATGAATCGAAAGATGGGGATGACTCAAAAGAAGAAATCAAAGTGGTCACGGAAACAGTCCAGACGTCGGAGAAAGAAATCCTGATACCAGTGCCTAAAGGTTTCGACAATGTGGTCGCCTGCCTTCATAGAAGACATGCAGACGATCCTCCCAATGCCCAGGAGCTGGAATTCATGGAGCAAGACGGAATGAAGCTGTTCAAAGCTACGTTCGATGAGTTTGGAGAGTACATAATGGATCTGTATCAGAAAGATGAAAATGGGCAAGTGAAGAACATAGCGAGGTATCAAGTCAACAGAAAACCAGCATCTGAGCTGTACCAGGATGACGCACGATTGCTGATGGATCAGTTACAAGCCGACATGAAACACAACCGCGAGGAGGAAGAACACAAACAGGACGAAGCAGACAAGGAACTAGGGGCTCTCAAGAGAGCCATTCAAAAGGCGATGGACCTTAAGGACCCAGGGATGCTGGAAAGGAGCATTGCGGACTTCGAAGCAACCAACCCCCCAGAGAATGATAAATTGTTACTAAAGGCAAAGAGGCTTCTAGAGCTTCTTAGAGCCAAAGAAGGTATAAACAAATGCATTTTAAGACGGTATAGAAATACGGGTATACAATATTTCCTGAATATTATTATTTAAATAAGGAATTTAGTTTTTAGGAGAAGGATGAAGACAAGAATTCAAAAGTGAACATATTTCAGTAAACACGTGAATGAACAAACTATCTTTTTTTTCAGAGCTGAATACTGCATCACACAACAGAAGCTTGGAGGAATTGGACAAAGCAATCGCCCGCGCCAAAGCCGCTAATTACGATAGTCTTCTAGACCTTCAGATTGTCATGGCAGGTCGTCTCAGGGATCAGCTGCATAGAATCGAAAGACTCCGCCACTCTGTTCTTAATATGGACAACAGAACCATAGCCGAGATTCGCACCTACGGCAATCCGCCAGATGGCGTTCACCAGTCACTACAAGCTGCGTTCTTGTTACTGGGACACTCCAAAAAGGATGTCAAGGTCAGGCTAAATTAATGAAAATGTTGTTGAATTATTCATTTCACATAAAAGTCAATTTAAGTGTTTTGAAGATGAAACTAATTGTACGAATTATGGCTGTGTATTCTATGCCTGCATTCAAATTACTCGATGTTTAGATTTAACTTTGCAGTTTAACAAATTGTTCGACAGAAGGCAGTAACTAGGGCGTATACAAGAATACAGAATACGAGAAAGTCCAGTATCATCTGTGTGATTAGATATATAATTATATAGATACCGAATTGATTTCCTAAACAGGCCTTTCATTTAAAAAGGATTTCAATGCTTTTTGAATTTATTTAAGCTATATCCAACTTAGAATTTTTGCATATAAGCAAAGTTTGTCCTAGTATCAGCCTGAAAGAAAAGGACAGAAAAGAACATTCTTTTTTAAAAAAGATACTAGTATACAAATGTCATTGGTTAAGAACCAGCATTGAATGTAATCAATGCAATAAAAGAACACTTTTGAAAATGTATATTACAGGTTTGGAAGACATGCCAGAGCATCCTGGGTAAGACAGGCCGGGAGTCAGTCATGCGTCACATTTCGGCCTTTGACCCAAAAGACTGCTATCTTGACGTGGCTCAGTCAGCTAAAGTAGTGATTGAACCCTACTCACTTGAGCAGATCCGTGACGTCAGCGCCGGGGCCGCGACCTTCTTTGTTTGGGTGAGTAGAAAAGAATTTTTTTCTAAAAAATAAAGTGGGGGGGGGGGGTTGATAATTATTCTCTCCTCTGGTAAAATTTAGATTTATTTTGTCCGGATTAACTATGGAATGACTTTAAAATCTTTGATGTGAGTAGGTATCAATTTAGTTTTAATTAAACCACTAAAATTGGAATATATATATATATATATATATATATATATATATATATATATATATATATATATATATATATATATATATATATATATATATATATATATATATATCTTAACAGGCGAAAGGAATGATTGAAGAAGTAGAAGCAACTGGTGGAGCCGAGAGACCAGACGACAAAATGAAGGACAAGTCCACCACTAAAAAGGGAAATGCAGGAGGCGCAAAGAAAAAGAAGAAATAGACAACCAGAATGTTACCTACATAGACGGGAACTTATGGATCTGATTGGTTGTGTAAAAGACAATCAGTGTTAACTGTTAGGGACCACGTGATGCCTTCATCAATATTTATTTTCTTCTTTTTTTTTTATCAGAAGAAGCCTGAAAGAAGAATAGTTGTAATTGTTTACATGCTGTGATAGGTTTGAATCTTAACCGTTTGTCTTGCTTACGGTTTAAAAATATCAAGTGAGGATTGATATTTTTATTTTATTATTATTATTATTATTTTTTTTTTTTGCTTATATTGTTTATTTTTCTTGAAGCTTGGCACATTGTATTTAGTTTAAATCAAGGGTATGGAATAGAGTTTTATAATATTCACGTACATATCTCTCTACTACAGCAAATAATAAACTGTGCCTGTTAAGTTTGGTTTATATGAAAAGTTTGATTTGATGGCATATATGCTTGTCAATAATCTTGCTAAGATTGAAGTATTTTTATTATGCAGCTAGTAAACAAAAATTGTTACAATCTATTTATTAAGCATATCGTAACTTGTATTTTGAGATATATTTAAAATTTTAACTTTGTTGTTAATTGAAAAAATTATTAACCTCGATTAATTATTGATTGATAAGATTTGAGATAGTTTATTTATTACATTGCCATAGAAAACATTTATACAATTCACTCCGTCCGGTGTACTTCTTGCACAATCTTTTCAGATCTGGAGTTGGTTTGTTATATAGACACTTAAAGAAAATTCCGTCCAAAATGTAATTTGACCTTAAAACATTTTCTTTTTTGTTACTTATACAAGTAGTTTAATAAATGCATCATCATTAATAGCATTGCGTTGTTGGTAAATTCTGTGATTGAAGGAACAAAAAATGTTTTGAATTTTCAAAACGAAGCAGTTTTAGATTGCAGATTATTCATAAGATGTTGAAAATGAAAACAGTAACTGATCACGAAGTAGAAAAGGTTGCAGGGAAATCTCTTTTTAAACTAAGTTGCATCAGACGTATTTGTATAAACAGTTTTATACAATAAATAAGTCGGGCAACATCTCCATGGCAAAAGATTAAATTGGATATACCCGCATTAAGCTGTATTTTTTAAGGTCTATATACCGGTATATTACGTTGCCTATGTGCTACACCAAAATATTTTGGAATAACTGGATATACCTGCATTTAGCTGCATTGTTTTATTGACTTGATCAACTTGGCGGAAAAGGCCGAATGATGTCGCTATTGGCTGAAGCGGTGAAAGTATTCTTCTTTGAGGTATATCCAGAGGGGTAAAAATAAAACATGTATTAAGAATGGATTACTCTTATATACACATGGAAGCTCATATAACGAATAAACAATCTTTTAAGAACCCTCTCTACACTGCACACGAAAGAGTTCAGATTCTGTTGCATTTTTCTGCAGTTAGAGTGATCTACCCTTAGATCTAAATTTCAATGAATTGAAATACAGTGTTTTACTGAATTTGTAATCAATTCAAGTATTCTTAACATTTTAAAAGGCCAAGATAAATTAATTGAATGATTTATTTTACATGTATTTTCTTCATGGAAGTAAACAACTGTGATTTCTGTTCATTGATACTTGGCTGTGTTTGAACATTTTTCCTGGGGGTAAATGCGTACCATGTATATTGAAAATTAAATAAATAAGCTCAATATTTATTCAATATAATTTTCTCAATATAAAAAAAAAACATTTTGCACTGGTGTGTAGAGGGTCCTTAAGATCTGAATGATTTTCAGACGAATTGTCCGAATCTAGAATAAATCAAATATTGCTAGAAGTGTCTCACTTGGATCCCCCGTACCAATTCCAGTACCCGCCCAGAAATCCGAGGATTTGATAGCACCATTTTACACTTTAAAAATCCCAAATATAATCGTGATTATCTGTTTGAATTGTTAATGGAGACCCTGCTTGTGTGTTTGATATTACCAAGGAGATACATCAGCCATATTTTAGGTGCACCAAGTGAAACATTTCTGTACAATAAAAAAGTTATTAGATACAACATAACATTAAGAAATGATATATTGATTTCAAAAGATATAATGTGCATTAATAAGTATTTAGCAAACTGATAATATGCAGGCCTATTTAAAATTATTTCGAAATACAGCTGTCATTAACGTTAATCATGATACAGTAATAATCCTTTGCTGTTAAAAAGAAATCTTATCACGTACGGCTAGTTATATACTAGTATTCTGGGTTTAGAAATAAAGCTTGTCATGCGTGTTTGGCATCTTCCCGGTTAGATATACGCCTCTTTCCCTCTTCATTATTGTGGATAAAATGATTACTATTCGTCTTATTTGCGTCAAAACTTGAATACTTCTGTGCTACCAGACATTAAATTTTCCATAGCTGAATAGGATCTAATTCACGATTTATCAATGGCATTACATTTGAGTTTTTAATATAACTTTTCTTATAAACATGTTTCTTTTTTAAATTTCAGAGACCTAATTTATTCGTAAAATTTTCCAGAGGCGGATATCCCCTATAAAGCATGATTATATTACCATTGTTTATCATTTGTTAGGTTAACTATTTAAAGAGACCTTAGTTGTTCTAAGACCCTTACTTGTTAAGTGGACATACCTATATGTATGGATTAAAAGTGGATTGAAGTTTTAAATGAATTAAAAAGTAAACAGCCAAGTAAATGATTATACGACAGATAAGTAAAACACTTACATATTTTAACTAAAAATGGGAAGATTTCATTGAACAGGGCAAAAAATGGAGCAAAAGACGATTGTCGAGTTGCGGCGCCTTAATTCACCACCTCGTGGTGTTGACGATGTGGTAACAGCTTTCTTGTTACTTTTGGAATATCCCCCGAACGAAGTAAAAGTAAGAATAAAGTTATAATCAATATTGCATTGATGTAAAAGTATAAGTTTAAAATAATTACAATATTAATTAAAACTAAAAAAAAATGTATTATACATTTCTACTCAAAAATCAAATATATATTATAGTAAATATACATATACATCTCTTCTTTATATTCAAAAATGTAATTTACACCTCTACTCAAAAGTAGGAAATGTAACAATGTTTCAGGATTGGAATAAATGTAAGAGTATTTTGTCCAGGACTGGAGAGAAATCAGTTATGACTAAAGTGTCTCATTTTGACCCTTTGTACTGCTCCCCAGAAACTGCCCAGAAGTCAGAGGACTTGTTAGCACCATACACGATAGAAATCGTCAGGAACAAAAATCTCTATGCTGCAAAAATGTACACATGGGTAGGTTTCATAATAGATTATGTTGAACTTACTCAAAGGAATATATTACATATGTTCTAATTATAGGAATCATCTGCATCTCACGTGACACTTTAAGAATTACATAAACACTGATATTTAAAAAAAATTATTTTCTCGATTCGATTAATATACCCTTTTTTTCTTTATTTATAAATTTAATTTCTATCGATTAGTTTCATTAAATTTTTAATTGTTGCATTGAAGTCTTCATATTTTTTCCCCAAAGAAAATATCATTATATGATTGTATTATTTCCAAAGACAATTGAATTTAGGATTACATGTATGTTCAAGTACAAAACTTGGTAAGAAATTTTAGATAGTTTAAGACTGTAAGCACCGAAATAAGCCCAAATTCTTTTTTTTTATAATTTCTATCTTATATATATTATTTCTTCATTTCTTAAAGACAAAATCAATGATAGAAGAAGTGAAGGCGAGCGGTGGGGTTCAGAAATAGCCAACACAGCGATTTTCCTAAACGAGGTTGAAAAGGAGATGTTTTCCTTGGACAGCAATATGATGAAGTGTGTATTGGGTTACAGACAAACACACAAAGGAGGATATACTAGTAATTCTAGTATTTAACAAACAGAAAAGTCAACCCTCTCTTAATGTAGATATTGAACTACTAGAAAACTAGTTATCAGATTATGAAGAACTGATTAAACTCACAAAGAAGTCTAAGACTATATGTTATAATTGATTAATGTCCACAACATCACTTAAATGTAATAGGAAGAAAAATGTGAGATTCTTCGTTAATAAACTAAGTCCCTAGTCGGCTCCCGGAATTGCCTATGGGCATTTATTGTAGATATTTTAAAGAGGTTTTTTTTTTTTTTTTTTTTTTTTTTTTTTTTTTTTTTTTTTTTTACAGAATATTCCTTATTTTACGTTCTTGCTTTATTATAACCATATTTTTACCATGTGTTGATTTCAGATTGTGTTGTTTGTATGTTGTGCTTCTTTTGCTAATATTATGTGCTTTATTTATGCCATATCCTCATACAAATAGACCGAGCAAATCTAGAAAATATAAGGCACGATCTTGAAATCCAGTCTGAAAATTGAACATTTATGTTATAGTACTTGTTTATTTTGTTGTTTTCCACAAACATCAGGATGAAGTAGGAAATGTTTATCATAAAGATTTATTACTTCAATTGAAAAAAACATAGTTAATAATTAAAGTAATAATTCAAAAGAGAACATATAATTATAATCCCCCATTACCTTATATCAATTTTATTCCAGTAGGTCTGATGGGATATTGATATATATGTATTAAGATACTCTTCATTTAAAACCACATTGGAAACTTATGGTGGCATATTTCTGCCCCTACAAGCAAAAATTTATGTCAACATGAAACATAATTATGTAGACATGCGACTTACCAATCTCTTTAAAGAATCTAATTTTAATGTTGGTAAACTTGCTTACTAACGCCATTATATGACATCAAACAAGCAAGATGGAGCATAATTATGTTAACACGCGACTTATTTATGCTAACATGCGAGTTAATTATGTCGATATGCACTTATTTATGTCGACATGCAACATAATTATGTTCAAATGCGAGTCAATTATGTTAACATGCGAGATATGTATGTTGACATGCAACTTATTACCTTGCATGTTGACATAAATATCGTGCATGTTAAAATATAACTCGCATGTTTACATAAATAAGTTGCATGTCTACATAATTATGCTGCTTGTTAACATAAATAAGTCCCATATAAACATAAATAAGTTGCATGTTGAAATAGTTAAGTCGCATTTTGACATAAAAAGAGGTTAAGATCTAGTAAATGACTTTAGACTAACTTTTTGGTGCTAGATCCATTATGACGTCATAATCAAATTTAACTTTCTTTTTCCCGTACTTTACGGCTCCAATAGAATTATTTTGAAAATAAAGTATTTTCATTGAATTCTACTTGAAATCATGTGAAAAGTAATCCGGAAACCTATATTCAATTTAATATTATTTTAAAGAAGAGACCAAGAACATACAAATTACCGTTTTCTGAGAGACTGTAGGCAATCTGGATACATTTCCTTTGTCTGATATGGAAAAAACTTCCATATTCATGACTGGTTTTCTTAATATTTCATTGAAAATGACAGTTTAAAATATGATTTCTCGTCTTGTTCATCTACAAATTGTGCCCCGAAACAACTTATCTGACCAAACTTAAGTTATAAAGCATCATTAAAGGAATTTATTTCTCAAATTTGAGAAATCTGTAGGCACCTTTCATTTACTAGATCTTGACCTTAAGGACATACGCAACGTACCTTACCTACTGATAATTTTTCAAGATATTCTTAATTTAAGATTATAGTGTCATCAGATGTTCGTAGAAAAAAAATCAGCATGCATTACCAGGGGTTTTTAAAAGATATCAATTGATGAAAATTCTTGTATAATTCAAAGAAAAATATACAAAAATTACTGAACATATATTCTAAATGTTTTGTGAATCCAAACTTGTTTTAGAAGAAGTTTACAGCAGCATACATAGACATTAAAATGTAGCACACAGTTCCTTTAAGTATTGGAACTCTTCAACTCCAGGGGAAAAGACAATAAAGTTCAAACTACGTTGCGTATGTCCTTAAGCATAATTACATTGCATGTTGACATAAATAAGTCGCATGTCTACATAATTATGTTGCATGTTAACATAATTCAGTTGGATGTTATATACGGGTGTAAGTAAGTAAGTAAGTTTACCTACATTAAAATTAGATTCTGTAAAAAGATTTGTAAATTGCATGTCTACATAATTATGATGCATGTTAACATAATTTATCTTGCATGTAGGGGGCAGAAATATGTCACCATAGAAACTGAACAATATGGGTAATTATTTCTTAGTAGAAAACTACAACTTCGAATTGTTGGCATATTTCTACCCCCTACATGCAAGATAAATTATATTAACATGCAATAAAAGTATGTCAACATGCGAGAAAAGTAAGTCAACATGTAAAATAATAATGTTGACAAGCAAGTTACAAATCTTTTTTGAGAATGTAATTCTAATGTTCCTAAACTTCCTTACTCACGTCAGTATGCTACATCATACAAGCAAAGTGCAACAGAATTATATTGACATAAGACTTATTTATGTTAACATGCAAGATAATTATGTTAACATGCAACTTATTTGCGCCAACATGCGACTTATTTATGTCAACATGCGAGTTATATTTCAACATGCAGGATATTTATGTCAACATGCAAGGTAATAATTTGCATGTTGACATACATATCTCGCATGTTGCATTTGACATAATTAACTCGCATGTTAACATAATTATCTTTCATGTTGACATAAAGAAGTTGCATGTCTAGATGATTGCGTTGCATGTTAACATAATTTATCTTGCATGTAGGGGGCAGAAATATGCCACCATACTTCGATTAGAAACTCTTATGAAAGAACTTTAAATGCAAATGACGTACCGTACATTTCAATGTTTAAATTTCGAAATTGGAAGACTCTTGGATTTAATCCCCTACTTACTCACTGAGTTTTGGAATTTCTCTCTGAATAAGACTGGGATATCCAAGATAGTTCAATTTGCATATATAAATGTAAATGTATAGAGGTACATGTATAGATAACTGTAGTACCTGCCAGAGGTTCGAAGATATTAAAGGTAGGTCTAAATATGTCAAGATTTATTTATTTCAATTATTATAATCTTTAATACAATGCCGTTTGCTGTTTAATAGTATCGTACTTTTCGAACATTGTAAAAGGTTCAATTAATGACTTTTATGATATCTTATTAAACTATTCTTAAGCTATCAGAGATGCACACTCTTTTCCTAGTTAGACTGAACGGCGAGGATTTTTTCTTATCATCATAACTAACGTTTCAATAAAATCATACTTAATTCAGTTCGTCTACCTTTGTCATAATTTACTACATGTTGACCAGTGCTAAGTTGATAATTAGTCGTCCAAAGCCGAGATCATCGTATCTCTTGTATAAATACCCCTAAGGCTAATCAAGGAATCCAGGTCAATTAATTTTTCTCTGTTTTCGAGTGAATGACTTTCTCCGGTCAGAACTCACTTAGTATGCCAATTTCATTTGCAGTGGCACATTTTCAGAAGAAATTTTATATACTTCCAACATGACAACAGTAAGCAAAGGAGATATCATTGAATTAAAGGCACTCCATAACCCCCCTGTGCTTGTGAAATACGTGTTAGAAGCCACCGTTTTACTACTTGGACACTCTCCTGCCGAGGCAAAAGTAAGTGCATTTGAAAATTCATATTACCATCATAATGTCATACATGCACATGTCATATTTTCAAAGAATAATGTAATACATGCAGTATTTATAAGGAGCACACGCGGATGTGGCCGATCGACAGGGGATGCTTTCTCCTCCATGACACTTAATCCCACCTCTGATTTTATTAGAGCTCTGTGTGTGCTCTGCTCCAAATTTATATTATTTCAATGGTCTTTTGAGCTTGATTACTGTTCTTTATTTTCATATTTCATGCTACAAATCTATAACTGAACTCACGAGGAATAAGAAATTTTGGATACCGATAAAAAAAACATCAATAATCAAAACTTTTGCTTTGAATTTTCGTTACTTGATATGGGAAAATACTAGCCTGAATGAATTTAATGACTTGCTCTAATCAACTTTAAAAGTACACCATAACAAATTTAAAGAATAAACTAAGTTTACCGTAAAAAGTTCTTCTTAGTCTATTACGTAAAATAGCCTTAGAATGATAAAAGGATCATGTATTAAAATATGACAGATATTAATTTAGACATTTAGTTTGTATTTCATTTTTAATACATTTTAGAATTGGAAATTTGTTCGGGGAATTTTGAATGACCCTACCCTTTTGAATCAGTTGAAAAATTTTCACGCTGAAAATTGCGACCCAGAATCAGCCAAGAAAGCCAAGGAATTGCTAGAAGATATCACTGAGGAAAAGGTCTGCAAAGTTAGCAAGGCTGCATCTCAATTAGTTAACTGGGTATGTTGAGAGACGTTACTCTTAATAAAAAAAACACTGAATATAGATTTATTCACAAATCAAGTAAACGCGAAGTTCTTGCTGTAAATTAAAAAAAGATTTATTATGACATAAATTTGAATTTATCAAAAGCAAACTAGATATAATTTTTCAATATATTATTTATTACTTTTTAAGGCAAAGAATGCAGTTGATGAATGTGAGTCAGCAGGAAAACTTAAAGACCCGTCCTAAAAATAGAACACCTTAATCTTCCATCCCTCTATTCAGCAATGAAACTCTTTCTTTAGCGTGCATGGTATTATCAGGAAAAAATAATGATGACTGTTTCATAATGCTCATTAACATTCGTAAATTTGAAAAAAAAATTGTCGAATAAAAACGAAAGATTTCATGTACATCATGTTTAATTTGTTTTAGCGGATACTTATACATGTATATACTTGTCAAGGTACATATTCTGAGAGAATTGGCTTGTACGGTGTTTGCACAATGAATATTAGTTCAAAATCTGAAAAATATTACATGATATAACCTTTATACATGATATATTTCGAAAATTCCTTAGATAATTTGAAATATTTCAAATTCACCATAACATCAATGGAAGGTTATTAAACATCTCTGGTACAAATTTGTAATAAAGAATAGGTTTCGGTTTGAAGCTTTGTAGGAAAGAAAAAGTGGTTATCCCAGAGATGACTCTTATTTAAAATTAGAATTTTTTTCTTAGTTTTTCAGAACAATAAGATTTCTTTTTTTTCCATTCAATTCTTAAAGATTGCTTTTAAGATTGCAAGGGCTTATAATTTTAAAAAAATCTTTCTCTTTCTAAACCTTTATGCCAGCGATTTTTATTCTTATTTTTTAAAATTTATTGTTCTTGAATTGTTTAATTAAACATATTTAGGTTTACTTATAGTAAAGAATTGGCTGATGGACATTTTAAGGTTTTGAACTCTTTTTAAAAAGCCTTAAAATACAAGGTTATGGTTATCACACTTAAAATGCATATTGTTATCAGTAACAAATCATTGTAAATATGAAAATAAAATTGATTGAAATATATTTTTTGTACTTTGTTTCTGATATATATATATATATATATATATATATATATATATATATATATATATATATATATATATATATATATATATATATATATATATAGATGATCTTATGTACATTTTTTTCCTTGAATTTAAATCATGTTAATTTGTTTTATATTATGACAATATAGAACTTGAATTGATATGTCGTTGGCATACCAGCGAGAAACTGATTGATAAACATGGCGAAGGGGGGGGGGTATGTTCAGAGTGTATCAAAAACATAACCTCACTCATAATTAATTACCCTGGTTCCGACCTGTATGTATGTGCAATTTATTTCACTATCTCCTAAAGTTAAAAAAAAACCACTGTCATTTGAAAATAGTAGGTCATTCGTTTACTTTAATTTGTATAAATAATCCCTTTTTAATCATATTTGAAGAAAGAATACTTATAAAGAAAACTGTCCGTAGATTTTCTTTAACATGTATGAGGACTTTTTCACTGATGATTCACCATATCAAAACCTGCAAATGTCAAGCAAATTTAGATGCATCATGATATGGATTTTCTGAAGACATACGAACAAAATCTTTTGGATTATAGTCTTTTCTGTCCAAATTTAATGTTAACCCGTTCACAAGAAAAACAAGTAAACGTATAAAAATAGTTTTAGTTTCTTTATGACATCAAAAACAGTATTCCACCTTTTGCTGGAAGAGAAGTGTTGTCTAAGTGATATGCAATAACCTCTTGCAAGATAGATTTAAGCATATCTAATGACTATTTTATAATAATGACAAAGCAGAAGGGAAAAAAGTACAGAATCGCTTCCCTACTTATAAACGCTAACGTGACTAGGTGTTTGGAGCTCATGGACTTCCTATAATTCCCCCCTGATTCTGCTATAATTTAGATATTATTTAATCACCAATAAAAGGTCTATGTATTTAAAATAGACTTTATTACATAATTTTTAAAGAATAACAAACTATATATAATTTCTGATATTAGCAAAAAGGTGTATTTGACGATGGAAATCTCTGGTGAAGTAGAAAATTTTAACCCTTTTATATGGTGTGTGTGTGTGTTATAACAACTTAATACAATAACAAATTGTAAATATTTTTGTATCAATGTTCTATCAATATAAACTAGCAGGTATCTATTGTTACAACCTACCTTCTCATCCATATGCCTGACTGTGATGTTTTCGCTTTTTCTACGTCTGTAAATAATTGTTCATAGCAGTCTTTTTGTGATTTAAGGAACCTCTATACAATAGTGAAAAATATTTTTTGGACACTGCATGAGAAAATTATATCATATAAAGGTGTGAATGTTGAATCCATCTACTTCAGTTTCAACAAAGGGTGCCTGTCATTGACCCTCGGGAAAAATTGTTGAGCAAATACCACGTGGCTTACTTAAATGGGAAAGACTATATACAAATAAAGTGTTCAATTTAATTTATTTTGGTCTAATAAAATAAGAATGCTTGAATTGATTGCAAATTGATGAATACACTGTACATTCAACATGTTAAATTTAGATCTAAGGGCAGATCTCTCTAACTGCATATAAATACCACAGAATTAGAACTCTTCAGTGTGCAATACTATTGAAGATTTTATTATTATTATTTATTATTATTATTATTTGAAAACGACCTCAAAATGTGCTTGATTGATATACGAATAAATAAAATACGAATATAGTTGACATACGAATAAATAAATCAATAAATTTATAGATATATCATTTTTATGATAAATACGCAGAAAAAAGTACTTGATTTAGCATTTATGTCCAATAATTAAAGATTGCAACCCTGTTTTTCAAAATACGGATTTCAGATTGTGTTGCGAGTATTGTCGCTTTTCTTTTGACTTTAAACCATCTAGAAATAATAAATAATGAAATAGGTGAAGATAACGATCTCTAAAAGCCTGCAAACAATACAAATCTGTAAAAAATGCATCAAACACGGAGCCCTGGAAATTCCGGAAGTGAGATCGGGTGTCTAGGTGTAGGCATCCCCTGTCGACCGTATACAAACCCGGCATGAGTCCTATGTATTGATCAGATAGACGGAATAACCCGCAGTCAAATTTACAAAAACAAAGGCCTAACAATTGGTATGGAATATGCCAGTCAAAATACGACCAAATGATAGGTTGTATTTGAGAAAAAGGTCTATAAAACAACCATAGAATTTACGAAACGCTGACCTTAAATGATGTTATAATACCTGTAACATAAGCTTATTTGTCAGTAGCCTGTCTCGATTTAAAAATTGATCGTACTCAGAACATTCTCTTCAGTATCGAAGAAGTTGAGATACATAAACATATCAATTGATGGTGGAATATTACTACATAAATAAATATATAGTTTTTTTTTTTTTTTTTTAGATTTTACAATAGAATTAAGTGCAGACGATTAAAATGATCTCAAAATTTGAAAATATTTTCACAAAATATTTTGAAATTTGAAACTATTCATCACTTATCATCTTTTATTATATTATTCATACTATTCGTACAAGTATTTGAATCGCATCCATTTTTTCATATTTTATGTTGCACGTGCCGCGTTTTTCCCCATAGTCAAATACTAGTAGTATTATGAAGGTATCGGTCAGGATAAATAATACTCTTATATATGCGTGTATGTTTCAGCATTATGAGTAAGTCACTTACTTCAATTTATCCAATAGATATATTAACTATCATTCTTTAACTTATTGATATTCAATAGCCTTACTCTTTGAAAGTATTTTAAAATTCAAATGACGCACTGGACACTACAAAGTTTCTCGATATAGGACTACGCATTTAATGTATTTAAAGCATATTAATCCTTTGACTATTCATGTTATCTTTGGATTTTCCTTCTGAACAAGACTGGGATACCCGGTGTAGTTCAATATATATGTAAATAATTATTAGGCAAATGTAATACCAAAATAAGTGCTAGAGAAGTTCGAAGATATCAACGACGAAATCTTTTAAAGGTAGGTCGATATGTGAGAAAATTTATTTAGGTATAATTAATGCTGAATTATCATTTTTGATTATTTTGATTGGATATTGACCAGAAAATTAAAAAAAAATTGTCAGATGTGTTTTGAGTAATCTGGTCAATATCAAACCATATTAACGACGTCAAAAGTTCTTATAATATAGTCCGAGCTAAAATTTAATAGCAATAGAATTTCTCTAAAAAAATTTAAATAATTTTTTTATCCATCAACTAAATGTTTCCTTTTAATGACACTTCTTTCCTTTGTCCAACTCTGAACAATGCTTTCTACAGGCTAAACAGAGTCCTATCAGGTAGCAGACTCAGTCAAACTCAAAACATTGTTTTATGTTTTTGATTCAATATTTATTTAGGGAACAGAATTCCTTTTTTGCTATGTTATAAACGATACCACTTCATTTGTAGCGGTATATTTTCTGAAGAAATAATATGACAACAGTGACCAAACAACATGTTGATGAAATAAGGGCACTCCATTCTCCTCCTGTCCTCGTGAAAGACACATGTGAAGCAATATTTTTAATACTTGGATACTCTTCTACGGAGGCCAATGTAAGTGAAAACCCTACAATGTCACAAAGATATCAAAAAAAAAAAACAAAAAAAAAAAAAAAAACGATATGCATCTAAACTTAACTAAAACGGTATGTAAAACGTATATTTGTGACAAGAATGCTATTTTAATACCAGCCACCGTAATTTTAAGACAGACGAGGCATTTAAAAAAATCTCTAAAATAGTATTCTAATACATGTTGCACTCATACTATTGCAAAACGTGAAAGGAAAAATTAACAGATTTTTTAATGAAATATATGTATATGAGCAAATTTACTGGACAATACTGTAATCATGTGTCTAACATCTTGCATACTTGATACTTTAAAATTTATATACTCGATATTGAAAATGTCTAATTTACATTAAAATGGCATAAAAATACTTCAAGGAGTATAGTTTTACAACAACCAACGTAACAGCCTCAAACTTACACAATATACAATGGTCATTTTTTTTTTTTTATCAAAGAACAAGGTTCATTTGGTGCCTTTTTTTGCCCTGTAAATTTCTGAAAAATTCAAATCTGCTCAGTTTTAATTGATTTTACATTAAATTTTACTTGGACATTTGGTAACTGCATATCTATTAAAAATGACTTAATTTTCTCGCTTGTGCATGTATTATGACGTCATGAATTTCGTCATTATCCCCAAATCCTGAAAATATC